AGAAATCGAAAATCTTCATCTTCATACAAAAACAAAGCTATGCGCATAATTGTAAATTACAAGCCCTTATAACTACAATTTCCAGCTTTCCACGAGCCCTAGTTTTCGGGAAATTAAAATGGGTCTTGCAATCCCATTACCACCTGGCCACGTGGGCGTTATTCACCGATCGGACACCTCAAACTTGGGTAATCAAACCTTTATTGGCAAAAGTATATAAAAACAACAACATACGGACACAATCAAAATTATGTCAATAATGATGCAATTGCAAAAATGTACAAGAGAAAAATCATACATAAAAGATATACAAGAGAAAAATTATACATAGAAGAAAAAATGATCACAAAACAGTTAGCAACCACAACTAAGCATTTTTGCCCTCTATATACGCTGTAGCAGTTACTTTATCAATGACAAACGCGCTATGCTTTGAGAAGTCTGCCTTGATACCACTTAACAATTCTTCACTCTCTTATTTTCTCACGGACAATCGCAAATCTTTCGCGCAGTCATGTTTTGAGAAGCACGATACTTCCCCTTTATCAGATTTAACAGCAATGACTGCGCCTACCGTACTTTGAGCTCGCCCAAAGATCGCGTAACCGCGATAACTATGATTTCCAGCTTTCCACAAGCCCTAGTTTTCGGGAAATATTGATTTTGGTGTGGAATACCCGGAGAACTAAGGAGAACTAAATTCTCAGATCACGGTTATACCTCTAAGGGCTTGTAAATCAATTACATTAGTGGGAACAGCATAGCTTCGCCTTTGTATGAACATGAAAATTTTCGGTTTTTTTTTAAATTTAGATGTGATAAAAATACAGCAACCTTAAAATGAGTCATATGAGTGTCTTATGTGATGTTCAATTTGTGTGAGCAAATTGGAGATCCGCGAGTTTTTTTTTTCGAACGAAGACATGAATTCTTCCCATTCCCAAATTTTTGAGCTTTCAACACGATTCAGATTTTGGATGCAACTTGCGATGGGCCGGAGCTGGTGCAAACTTTTCACACCATCTTGTAGAGCTTGATTTGCTCTATTGCTCTTGCTGAGCGTCTGTCTGTATGACTCGAGCTGACAGATGCTCTCGAGACCTTGTATGAACTCTGTACCAAATTCACCGCAAGGCCTTGCTGCTCTTGCCAACAAAGACGATTTGGCACCCTGGCACTATAGACTGCGATCCGCAGTGACAACATGTGATATATCTTCTTCGTGAAATAATCTATCATGACGGCTGATATGCCTGTACGCTTACGGACAGTCTCTATATTTAGATGTAAAAATCACGCGAACTGAAGCCTTCTGAAGCAAATGGGACTCCGGATCTGCCTCCTCTTGAAGGGCGCTAGGCGCGTTTAGTCAACACCATGATTATAGTACCGCGTTTTATTTTGAAGAGGAGAATGCTTTGCTGTTACGGCACTCTTTATATTATTCGGACTACGCTCTACAAAACCGTAGGTGTCAATATCTATTCGATAAGTAATCGGATTATCTCCACGTATTCGCATTTTGACGCTCCAACTTCAAGATAAGCTGCTGAAGTCCGTATGCGTGTGCAGGGACTTACTCATTAGAAGTAACACATTAAGATGCCTCTGTTTTTAGCGTACAGAAATAACACAAAACTTCGTTTTCTTTGAAAAAATCACTGAACAAGAAATGTGACGCCCATACTTTCGGCCACCCTATATATGAAACCAACCCTATTAGGACCTCCTTTCTTGTGCGGTCAGTTCAAAGCTATTGTAATTCAGATAATCTGAGGCTTCCATTTCTCATTACAAGGTTCGAAAAAATTATTGCAATGCAGTTCCATAACGCAAAGTGCCAACATCAATATGTCGTGAACATTTTGAACTCAGTTCAGCGATGTCTTAACGGCATTGTTATCAGTACCACTTAATAGCTTTTAAACGTACGATAGTGTGTCATTCACATTCCCTAGTCGACAGACGCATCAGATCAAATATGGTCAAACTTCTCGAAGTAGGTGTTTTGTTCCACTAGATCTTGTTGCTATGAGGTGCTATACAGCTTTTATGAAAACCTAGAAAAATTGTTGAAACATAGTTGACCTCACTGATGTTAAGCATCTTAACACACCCAGCAAAAGTTGACTAGCTTTTAATTTCTAATGCTTTGAAATTCCTGAGTTGACTAATAGCTCCTCCGATCAAAATTTTTCATTACGTAATGAATCACCTCATCTACGTGTATATAGGTCAGAAACAAGAGACCATTAAAGAATTTTATTAGCATTTCTCATTTTGCCACGCATATTCACACCTTCAACCTTCATTAGAAAAGTTCTGAAAACTACGACAAACTCTACGAGTTTAAATCCTTTTCTCCTTTCAAAAAGCTTGCATTATTCAGGATATAGTTTTTTATCCATGATTACTGTCATGTTTGGCGGCCTACAAGAATAATACAGGAGTAGATTGACCAAAGCAAATTACTGAAGCAAATTACCGACTGTAATTATTTTTTTCACCCTTTGTAATTTCCTATAGTAGTTGAAACTGTCGTCATATTCAGAGCAGTATTCACTAAATCTCCCTCTTTTCGTTCTCCTTTTGATCGATTTTCAGGTTTTACTTTAACTCATGATGGGTGGTCACAACTTCGATATGTAACTCATGTGATATGTGGTTTGAGAAGCTAAGATCTCTAGAGAGTTGTTAATTCCAACAAAAATTCCTTATTCAGCAATTTCGACTGAGGGCATTATCAGATTGCTTTATCAAATAACAAAAAAGTAAAGAAGTTCATCAACTGCCTTTACCAGGTGTCATGTTCCAGTTTCATCTTGCATAGACAAAGGTGCTGACAGGAGTAAAATCCATTCCGCAATAAACTCCATAATTTCTGAGCTACCAACTAAAGCTGTCATCCTTGAATCCAAAAAATCTTAGGCTCTTGAGATTGGGAAATATTGAATAGTTTCCTTTATTACTTGTTATTTTTCCGTCCAACTCTACAATGGATCTGATCTTGTCTGAGTGCGCGCGCGTTCCTCAAACAGCAGTTGTTCACTGTGAAATGGAAGTGATCAAATTTTTCTCGCATTTTTGGCTGCGTTCAGAATAGCCCCTGTCAGCGCTTGTGCTCCATGTCCTACATGGAGAGCGTCAGCGTTGGCGCTGCACGTCGCAGGCGCGGCGCTGGCACGGCGCTGGCATGGCGGCGCTGGCACTTACAACTTTGAACGCAGCCTTAGCTATCGGAATCACAACCTTAGATGGTAAACCTTTTTAAAGCAAGTATTTGTGCAAAAATACCATAGCCATTGTGGTCCTTTCTTATGAGATGTACGTGGCAATTTTCGAAACATTGATCTCAAATATTGTTTGCTATCTGCAAACCTGTTTTTTGAAAAAAATAGTAGTAAGATCTTTGATAACAAATTTGCGTTGTTGCTGTGGTTCACAATGAACAATATAAGATTTCTTACTCATTCATCTATTAAATTCGAAATGGTGGACAATCGCAGATGTTGCTCCATAGAATAAAGACGCAACCTGGCCAGCACTGATGACTTTAACTTCTTCATATGGCACAAAATTTTCTAGGATAACGTTCCTAACCTTATGCCGAAAGCTTTGCAGATGATATACCTAACGTAGATTTGAGATAAGTGTTCCGAGACGAATATTCTCATATACAGGGTGTCCCAAAAGTAAGTACACACTTATAATCATTAGTCATTCTCTTCCCACAAAGTCTTCTGCTCAGCTTTAAGTATCATTCTAGAGAGAAGGCTTCAGCCTACATTTACAATAATAAGCGAACCATTCATTGCGCTTCGTTAATGTGGGATTACAGCAGGAACTTCCAAGGGTTTAAGCCGTCGATAGCTACAGTTTGCCCCAGAATGGATACACAATAGGCTGAAAACTTCTCATTAGGTTAAACTGAGCAGCTAATTATGATTATGAAATACGCACTTTACCGCAAGGGTTTTTTTCATAAGTTATGTCAGATAGATCGCAACAACGGTTCAAGGCGTCGGACAGAGTTCAAGCGATTTGATCGTCGCGATTTAATCGCTAAGGACAAATGTTGCGAGTTCATTGCATGCCGATCTTCTTGTAATTTGGTTGTGATAGTTAGTCACAGTTAGTCGTGTTGGAAAACTATCACAACCGAAATGCAAGAAGATCGGCATGCAATGAACTCGTAACATTTGTCTGTAACGTTTGAATCGCGACGATCAAATCGCGTGAACTCTGTCCGAGGCCTAACACTGTTTCAAAAATGTGACTAAATCATGTAAAGCGCTTCAAAAACTCGCAAAAAGTAGTCTAATAAAGCATATCTGAGAACACTTTCACACAACTCTGCTTATTTCGGACTTTTTCTTCAAACGGCCTGTTTCACAATGGCCCGTATGTTAGAAGTTCCTACCGTAATTCTACAGTAACGAAGAGTGATGGGTGATTTGCTCCATACTCCAAATCTAAGCTGAAGCCTGCCTTACCAAGGAGTTTGTAAGGCTCAGCGGAAGACTTTGTGGGAAGAAAGTTATTAACGAACAAAAAGGTGTGTACTTATGGTTAGGCTTGAGACACCCTTATATCCCATGAGGAAATGCCACGGTTGTTTCTGTTCCTCCGCTTCTCAACAAGAAAGAGCAGATTTTTTTCTGTTGAGTCTTTAGCATGGTGAGTGGTACGGACTGACTAAGCTGAGTATTAACAGTAAAGTAATAACTGTCACCATACTCACTGGTGTCAAATCCGTTGAGTAATGACACTTTCTGACGCTTTCTGCACTCAATGCTCTATTCGATGTCATAAACTCTTATCACTGTACTCTGAGGTGTTAACATGGATGTGTACACAATAAGGCGGAACGCTGTACAGCCCCATTTCAAGGCTTGTGCCATCATAATATGATAGCTTTTATTTAGTTTTGCCAATTCGATTATCATATCGTTTATATGCAGTCTTCTAATACAAATTACATAAATAACCTTTTAAAATTCCAAGATCTTCCGTCCAAATGGCGAACCTCGAGTCACCGACCGCCGAGAGCTATGATCTTACTACGGGAAAAACGGTGCATGGAATTAATCAAAATTTTGAAATAATTTAGCAGATTATAAGGTTCCAACCAATAGAACGCATCGATGTTGAAACTTATTATTTCAGCGATTCAACTGGAACACGGAAGATGCAATCAGCGTGGAATCTGCGCCAACAAACAAAAACAGGAGTTTCTCCATTTTCACAAAAATGATTGCCGAATTTCTTGGAGATTTCACTTTCGTCTTTATTGGTAAGCAAATCCAAATAGTTTTTTCAAGATTGCAGTTTTGAGATAGAATTGAATGTTTTGGTCATGTTTGTTTACTGTTTTGAATCATATTTTACCAAATTCAGCGTACGCGCTGGTTTTTCCTAAACGCCACAGATACAAAACAATAACAAAAAATTTTTAATGATCTTTACAGTCAGCATTTCAAATCTTTACACAAAGGAGTTAACACTTCCAGTCTGAAAACGTTTATGGAAGATTTAGGGGTCATTTCTTACGATTTTTGATGAATTTTTCGCAAGTGCTACACTGACTTCATACTCAGTACGGAAACATTTTCGCATTTTTAATACCTATGGAGAAACGACTATCGTTACGAGAAGTTCAAGAGTAGAATTTCCATCTGAAAGCAAGCATTTTAAATTATCTCAGGATTTTCAAAACTTCGCAAACGCAATTGCAATCACCATTTGATTCAACTGGCTTGGCATCGGCAAAGGCGGAGCTTCGTGACCTAATTGAGGCTAGGTAATGATCAGAGAGCACTCGCGCGAGAGAGACGCAGGTGCGTCGAGGGCGCGAGCGGCCTCAGTTAGATCACAAAACCGCGCCCTAATGGTGCCAAGCCAGTTGAATCAAAGGTTAGCTGATATTTGAAAGCAGGAAGTGGTAAGCTGCAGCTTCTATGCCTTACATCTCATTTGACCTATTTCATAGGGTCATCACTCTGTGTTAAACAGCACGACACAGGATAAAGAATAAAACAACAGTAAAAAGAACATAGAGATCATGAAATCAAGTGAGAAGCATCAGGAAAATCGGTGTTGGCATTAACGCCATTGATGAATTGCAAATAATTTCCTTGAACTGGTATTAACGCTACTGATAAATTGCAAATTTCTTTGAACAGCCTTGTAATGGGATACCTTTACAAGAAACATGCCTTTCAATAAGCCCGTCCATGCCTTAAACGATAAGTGGAAAAGTTTCTCTGCATTTCTAGCCTCGTACTGAAACAATCAACTTCTTACGTCTTCCTTTCGGTTTTCGAAACTGTAAGCAAAAACATTTTGAAATGTAACCCGCACTCAGTGTACTATGCAATCTTATGCGCCATTATTACGTTAAATTTACGTTTTTTGTAAGCAAGTGTGAGCACAAGATTCATGTTACGAATCTCCCTTTCGTTATGAGATTATGAGATCATATTCGAAGCCAATCTTGTGTCTGATAAGTTTCCTAGTAAAACTATTTCAGATCTTTTGAAAGTAGTCTTTAGTTTTGCGTATACTTGGTATTATAAACTTCTACGTTTCTCAGCTTCCTCAGGGCCTGGATACTCAGACAACTGACCGGCATTTCCGCAAAACTTTTAGGAGAGTTCCGCTGGGTCACCTGCGGAAGTCGTAGGCGTGCTGTGGACGTTCCCAAATGAGGTGCTGCGGAATTTCCAAACAGTGCGAACCACAACAGCAAAAAAGAACATCCAAATGAGATTTGAACCTTACTTTATTGACTGCGAGACAAACCTACTACCCTTTGCACTACGAATGACATGTTCTTTAAAGCGCTCTGGTTGTTGGCGAGGCAACATCATTCGAGACAACACATTCAAAACCCTGCGCAAGTACTGGCATGTTAAAGTGCTGCGGAACCGCTGGCATTTTGCGGAAGTTCCACAGAGCTTTGTAAAACGTCCTGCGGAAGTCCCCGTTTCAACCCGTCTGACGTGAAAATCTGGCGGAAGTTCCCATTTTCAACGTTTTCACTTTTGCAATAGTAAAAACCCTGCGGAACCGCTGCAAACTTCGCTTGTCCTGCTGAATTTTCGGTGAATTGTCTGAGTATATATGTAGTATACCGAGATCTGATCAGGAGTTGTTATTCTGTAATTCACAAATCTTCTAACATTACAATACAGCACAGGCAGTCGTACAATTTCCGTCTTGGACGGGGACATGCTTCACAAAATTTTTGCGGTCCTACAATTCAAAGATTCCAGAAAACTGGGGCGTGGCTCCGGCTAATTTTGATTTTGGAAAATCTCAATATATATTTAAGTCATCTACAAGTATAAAAAGTTACTTGCACATTCTACTTCCACCTAAATAGCTTACAAAAATTTTCGCGACTCATTCTTGGGAAGTGGGATGCTTTGAAGATGATTAAACGTGGTTTCTATATTATGAATTGATAGCATAAAAACTCTGAAACGACTAACAATACAAAACTCAGTTGCTCTGATTTTGACAGTTATTTGAACGAGTTATGAGCTTCAAATTTGCTTAGTACAGCCTCCAGTGTTGCTCGCATGTTGCCGCAATGCCAGTACCGTTCCAGCGACGTGTTAGCACTGCGCTGGAACGGCACTGGCACAGGCAGCTCTGAGCGCAGCTTAAGTATGCAGCTGTTTCTTGGCTTACAACAGAAAAAGTTTTAAGTTTCTCACATGAGTATGCAAATTTTTTCCACAACAACAAATACAGCAGATCAATTACTTTGCAGGCTGTATGCAAACTGTAGTAACAGTTGCAAGTGATGGCGAATCAGCTAGAGAAGTAGTGGATACCATTCTTCATGCAACTCTCGCACATGGTTTTGCTATATTTATACTCGTTGCGGCTTTGGGACATATAAGGTAAGGAGACTACATGTACTATCTACGCCAAACAGAATAGAACTTCTTCCTCTAGATTTTGAGGATAACTGCAAAGGATATTCTTGGGTTTTCCATAAACTGATCTCGCTTGCCAAATGATTTAGCACTTATCTATTGTTGTGCTCTGCCCTTTAATGTTCGCGCTGTAAATACGCCTTACACGGTTGTAAAATTGTCCGTAGGCCTCGTAAACTATAGTGGAGATAACAGGGGAGTGAAAGATTTTAGTGGTCTTTATTTTACAGATGATTCTGAAAGAAGAGCAAGTTTGATTTTTTCTGAGGCGACAGTTTTATAACATATCACCAAAACGATACAGCATGTCTGCGTAGGGTCGATACGCAAGTATTGCACCGAAGAATAAAAAAAATTCGTCCTAAGAATGTCCAGATAGCTTTCCAGATCATTCTGATATTTTTTGTATAAAGATAAAATGTATTTGTACATGCATTTGAAGATTTTTCATTTGCAGTTTAGCAATGCTAACAATCAAAACTTAATATTCACTTTGTATTTGTTTTATCAGTCTGCATGTTGCGGTAATAGAAATTCTATTAGAGAACTACATACTGGAGATTTTTTCAATTTATACCAGATCAAACTCCTTCTTTGAATGATGTTTTGTTGCAGAACTTATGTATAAACCTAGCACATATAAACAGTATATGTAACAATGCTCTCCTAATCTCAGAGTGACTAAAACTTTCAGTGATCTTTTGCCCAGGATAGAAACCTGGCTATGAGAGGAATTAAATTGCAATTGCAATAAAACGGCAAGAGAAGTCTGCAATGGGGAGAGTGAACGACAAGAATCCCTCGAACTGGCAAATGAGATAGCAGCTCCCAATGGCTACTTCTCATCAAGGTCTAGACATTTCAAAAACACCGCAAATAATGATGATAGCCGAGCTCGTACCAGAATCCCATTATGTCTACCGTTTATCTCCGATAAGGTAAAGCACGCTTTCCAGAATTGCATAACACAAGCTCAGTTGGAGCAAAAATGTTCTCGTAAGCGTCCCCCAAAGCAACATTAAGCGACAGCTAGTGCGTAATCGTTTAAACGATACAGCCTATATTACGAGGGATTGCGTCACTTGTCCTTACGGAAGGATGAGAGACTGTACCAAGTTTGGCGTTATCTACGAAATTAAATGTCTAGAATGCCACGCCAACTACATAGGGGAAACTGGTCGTCAACTCAGCGTGCGAATCAATGAACACTTGTCTAGTTAAAGACGGGAAAGCATGTCAAGTCCGCTAGGGAAACACAGAAAGGTAGAAGGCATCACGATGACTTCAGTATCATGTGCATCATCCTAGGTCACGAGTCGAAAATTGCTGCTCGCAAAGCGCTTGAAGCGGCATACATTCTTTCGCGCGAACCTAATCTAAACGGAAAGAATGAGCAGCTCTCCATCACGAGTGACTTAATGCCATTTCTGTCATATTGTCACTTATAGATAACATATCCACTACTTAAGCTGTCCATATCGGTCAGTTCTAGTCTATTATACCACCAGTGGATTTCAAACATCTGTTGTTGCCTCACTGGTGAAGATCTTGGTACGCTACTTACAACGTATTATCTCAGCGTGTTTGCTCCTAGGGCATCGAACTGAGCTAGCTGAGAAGAGAGATTTGACAATACAGAGTGAAAAACAATTTGCGAGGCTTTCTTTCAGGTCTCTGAGGAAGGCATTTTTGCGGAAACGTTGGACCGAAATAAAGAACTTAACAAACTTGCGTGGCTTACAACATAACTCATGAATTCAAACAATGCCCAGGTTTCATGATCAGAGAACATATAGAATAAATTGCAATGATTTTTCCAATCTCTTAATTCAAAACTGTGTAATTGTAGAAGTTGAAGCAGTGACGCTCGTAAGTTGAGACTTTCTTGAATTGCTATACCGAGGTAGACAAGAACGGTGAAAAACAAAAAGCGGAAAAGTTTTGAATGAAGGACCATAAAGACGCATGAGAGTTCATATTTCGCCTGCTCGCAATAACCTCGAATCGAAACACGACCGTTCCTCAAGGTATCCAATTGCCAATCTGCGTGAATTGTCTAAATATGTCGCGCATGCAGCAAATTTTCGCCATTCCCTCATTCTTCCTCACCAGACAGCTGTCAGACAAAGCTACAGGGGTAGGTGAAGAACTACGCCAATTTAAGCCCGCCTTTGTTGGCAACTGGTCCTTTTGTAATATTGCTGCATGTCACTGCCCAGTAGTCCGCTGAGGCGGTTGAAACTGGCGGAGTTGTTTCCCCTACCCAAGCTACAGCAATGCGGTCTATGACGGTCCTGTGCAGAGGCCTCAGCAGCCACTATCATGCCAATCGGTTTGCATTCCACCAGATCATTAACATTGACCACAGTAATTATACTTGCAGCGGAGGACATTTCAATCCAGCTGTCACATGGTCGGTGGCCGGTGCCGGAAAAATGCCTCTTTGGCATGTACCGTTTTATTGGTTTGCTCAGCTTCTCGGAGGTTTCTGTGGTGCTCTTTACGCAGCTGTATGTCAAGCTAAATTTGATTCTTGCAATTTTATATAGGAACCTATTTCAGTTAGTCATGACTAAAGCTCAGCTCTACGAAAGTCACGCTGGTGCCACTTTGCTCAGTCCTTCCAACAAGTGGTGGGAGGTTAGTTAACTCTGGTTGATTGTTCCGGCCCAAACTTTACATGGATGAATAAGCAAATTTAAACTATACAATTTAGGGTCTGGCAAGCGAATCTGTGGTCACATTTTTCCTTTGTCATACCGTTCTTCTCACCGCTGTTGATACAAATAAAAACTTGCTCGCTCCATTGGCTATTGGTTTGACATTAAGTATTGACATTTTGTCAACGTTAGTCATTGGTGAATCACTTTCGAACAAAAATTGCTGTTTTAATTTCTTTAGGGGAGCAATAACAGGGGCGTCAATGAATCCGGCACGATCTCTTGGTCCAAATATTGTCGGTCAGATCTTCATCAACGAGACTTCCTTACCACTACACTTCTGGGACTATCATTACATCTACTGGGCGGGTCCATTTATCGGTGCTACAGTAGCAACATGTATCTACTGGTGAATATAAATTGATTTTGAGCTGATTCAAGCTCATGTTCTCATTTACAGGATATTTGAATCACGGCAAGTTCGATTGATCCGATGACCTGCTCAGATCTGCCGCACAATTTATGTCCTATTATGACAATCAACTACATCGTCTTATTTGGGTATACGCTGTTGTTGATTGTTTTCGAAGATATAAAATATTTATGCCTGCTAGCTGGTCATCACATGAAATGGTACGGAAAATTTTACCGTGCTTGTAGCATTTGCATTGTATCTGTATCTAAACTCTTGACCAGCCCGTCATCCCAGCAAACTTTAATCCTTCAGATTAATTATGTGGCTGAGTTCGTCAACCGCAGAAACATCTTTCATTCAATCTGTAATAATCTGTCAGCTAGACGATTCTCAACCAATGGTCTATAGACTGAAGTTGGCTGGTTATATACAGAAAGGGGAATAAGAGTGAGGCTTACAAAACGATAAGGTATTGACGAAGATAAAACGGAAGAGCATGCAGAAAGTCACACAGAAAAGCTTATGGCATACTAGTGTTTGGAAAAATGGAATTCAGAATCTCAAAATACTCCCTGCGATCGGCAAATCAGGCAAATCTCTGTGGTTTTCAACGATGCAAAGGTTTGAATGTTCATGTTGTGTTGGTGGTAGATGGTGAGATCAAAACTAGCGGGTACAAAAATTTGTATTTTTTAATAACTTATTTATTAATGAGATTGCAGAAACAACAGCTTTCACTAGGGCTACTACACTACTACTTCGCTATCACTTGCTTGTGTTCATTGCCCCCCCCCCCTCCCTCCTAATTTTGTGGAGTAAATGACGATCACCAGCGAGTCAGCTGTATACCGCTTCTGAGGTCGAAGTGACAATGCGTTAAAAAGTTTATTACAATTATTATTCGATGTCGTTTCCGTAAATTGCACTCTGCTTGATGTAGAGAACGTTACTGGAGTAATGTACGGTATTAGTAACGTGATTGCGTGCATGCCGTAATACAAACAAGAGTAGGAAGTCTTATGATCTTATGCAGGCTAAGAAAAATTACATTTGGTCAAAAACAGTTTTTTACAGATCTGGTCACTAAAATACATATTCAGTACGAGTTTCAAGAAACAATCTCCATCCCGCTCACCAAACAAAAATCTAGCAGAATCTGTAATTCATCACTGGGAGGTTTGGCATCTCGTACAACCCACATCGACACTATATACAAATGTCCGAGAATGACTCAATTCTTCTATAAGATGTCTTCTTTCTTCTTGAAAAATTTGAAGCTAAATTCAAAGTTTGGCACATCAGACTACCCACATCGACACTGGTTTTACAGTATCCGAGGATGGCTAGCATTTCTACATAATTTGCAGTCAGATGAAGTTCGGCACAACAGACCATCCACATTGACACTGTGCCCTATAATGCCCGAGGATGGCAAATTACTTCATAAACATAGAGCAGTCCGCTTTTGTACAAAACGACAACAGTCGCAAATCCGATAAAATGTTGATCAACAAATACGAGAAAAATAACGGTCCATTTGCAAACAGAAGTCACAAAGTTATAAAATCGAATGAGAATGAAAATTGGAAAATGAAGCACAAGGAAGAATGCACTCATAGTTGGTAATTGTACAGATTACTGAACTGGCAATCTGGAAGCGTGGCCTATGGCATTATCCCGACCCTCCCTTGTCAGACCCTCCATGATCTCTCCGCTTGTCCTACGCGTTTGCGGCTAACTGGCGCTGATCTAAGAGTGTCGTTTTTGATTTGGTAGAAGTAAATAGACAGATGCAACGAGTTATCCGCACTTAGAGGCAGCGTCCAGGCAAATCTGGGCCTATGCGGCTCTCACGTGGAAAGTAATCTTGAGGCCCTAAAAAAGACTGCTCAAGCGGCAGCTCGTGGCGCTTTCGCGCGAGGATCTACGCGAAACTGATGTGCCGAGCCATGAATCCAGGCGAATACGGTCACGGGGCATAGTTTGGGGCCCAATATGTCAGCCGCGAGTGCACTATCTGAACTGCCGCTTGGGCAGAGTCTCATTTAGTGTGTCAAGATTACGTTTCACCTAAGAGCCCCATAGGTCCAAATTTGCCTGGACGCTGCATTTAATACGAATCTGACCTCATACGACTAAGGAACTTCGCGAAGCAGCGCTTCTAATGCTTTTTTCAACTGTAACAAGCCTCTACACGATTTCGGGTAGTGACCCTTCCTTGTAGCTGAGAATGCGTCGACTTTTACCGCGACGCTGACCTATCACCTCAAAGCTGGGTCCATTTTTTTAGGCTTCATGATGTCCTATGCGTCCTCGATAAAAATGGTGATCCTAGAATGCCCCATTCCTCTGATAGCGCGTGCGAAATAGCGTTCGTCGCGGCTAATTTTGTGTTTCAATGGCAGATCTCTGAACTCAGCGAATTTCAGAAACTGCCGTACTGGACTTCATGGCCATCCATAATCGCCTGACAAATTTCTGTGTTAGTGCCTTCCCTTTTCACAAGATTTATCTCATCAATAAGTATTTTATACGCAACGCCTAGTATATCATCTCTGGAGTGTTTCGGTAGCACACTTCGATTTTAAAGCGAAGCTGATGTTCAACGTTTGTTTCTTTTATTAAGTCACTCATGATGTCGATGGTGGCCCGCAACCCTCGTCGTCCTGTGGTTCTCTAGAAGCCAGTGGTTCCGCCCCTTTGGCCATTCTTGTATAAAGACTCATACGCCCCCTTAATAGGATAGTTCAAAGCTTTTCGTTGAGGGATCGTTCAGACCGCGCCGGTACCCGCCCAGATCCGCCAGAATACTTCCGAATCCGCCCGAACTCGCCTGAACGCCGCAACTGCCAAAGCGCAGCAGATATGCGTCGAGCTACGTGTGACTAAGATATACGCACCACGCGCACAGTATTCCACGGTGCTCTGACATGCCAATTTGCAAATTATCTTAATCTTAGGTAGGTGCCAGAGTAAGCGAATATTTTGTTCAGGTTGGGGTCCCGCGCAGAATGGACGCTCCTCGCCATGCTGGCGTCATTCCAAGTGACGTCATTTCTGCACGGGACCCCAACCTGAACAGAATATTCGCTTACTCTGGCACCCACCTTAGTCACACATAGCTCGACGCATATCTGTTGCGCTTTGGCAGTTCCGGCGTTCAGGCGGGTTTGAGCGGATTCGGACGTATTCGGGAGGGTATGGACGGGTACCGGCGCGGTCTGCACACTTTGTGGAAACAGTATGACTACGTTACCTTTTCGAGCCATTCGCCGCAGTTCCTTTTGGGTGTACATTACATGAGCCACCACGAAGTGTGGCTTCAGACACTTCGAATCTTCATCGAATATCTGGGAGAAAACAATTGTCCGCCACAGTTCCAGCTATCTCCAGTTATTGTGCGTCTTTGATGACAATTTGTGAATCATTGTGCCTTCTAGTAAAGCAATGGCATGTTCTAGGAATCTTTCCTTCCCGGAGTTGGTGATCCAAAGCAGCTTCTTCTTCCTTAGTGGTTATCAGGGTGACGTGGAGAAAGTGACTGCGATCGTATGACAAGCGATTCTGTGCAAAGTAGGAGTCAGAATATTATACAAAGGATCAAGGAGATGAGCGGCGCATCAAAAAGTAATAAAGTCTTACGAAAAAGATCATGAGCGGATGCGATGACCGTACAATTGGGGAAGGGGGGGGGGAGTTGGAAATCGCATCCTGTATACTTTCGTCGACGGAGCACACTAGTATAATGCTTTCCACAACTCCATCTGTTTGCCTCAGATTAGTTCTTTGGTACCGTTTCCTACAAGTCCTTAACACGGGTAAATAAAAATTTCCGCGGTTTTCTTGGGTCTTCCTCGCATCCTATCCCTGGTTACCCCCATGACTGCCATCCATTTCTACTGGGACTTTGACTAAATGTTCAAGCTGTCATCTATGGGGTTTTTCATTTTGGCTAATCAAAATGAATAAAGCAAAGCTCCCGCTAAATTCCATCACTCTAAACCCACCTGCCCTCTCCGTTAACAACATGGGTGCGAGCGCCCTTTTTTCGCCAGCAGTTTTATGTATACCCGGTCAATGTTATAGAGCTTTACGGCATCGCTGTTCCATCTTCAAGTCGCAGTAATTTCTCGTATCATCGCCGGTCATGATTTTTTTATCAGAAAAATGCGGTAGTTGTTGAAACCCCCAGTACAATGATCAGCAGGCACAAGACTAATGATAAGTTATTTGCAAAGATAGAGTACAAATTGAGGACGCTGAATGAGCATACAAGTATTAGAAAGAAATCACAAGGAAGAATGCACAACCAGAGTTGGTATGTGCAAGATATGATATAAATGCATTCAACTGCATTTATATCATATCTTGCAACTCATGGCAGATCCTTAGACGTGGTAGGTCATCCCGCCCCTCTCTCACTCTCAGATCCTCCACTTCGCTTGTGTACGGGTAGGCCGCACTATTAGCCAGTGTCGGTACCAATTCGATAAGGATGACCGAAGGAAAGAATGACTTATACACAGTCAATACAAACTCAATTTGGCCTAACATCATGCCGCTCCATGGACAGTGTATCTCACAGTACCTGAGTATGGCACAGTCTTTTTCCCAGAAATACACCGCGTCTGAAGCTAAAGTTCACTCTATGGTCAAAAGTCTGTGAAGAATAGCGTCGCTTCAAAATGTTGTTGTCACAACTGTCTAACAAAGCATCGCCAATGGCAGCAGCTATTTGGATCTCATGTCTATTTTACGTCAAGAATTCAAGAGCTCTTTCTGAATACTCCCGAGCAAGATGACACCGATATTGCCTTGGTGCGCTCGGTCCACGCTCAAGTATCCTATCATTTGAATGCAAAACCATTTTCCCTTGTTTGCACGCTATTACAGAATGTAAATTACCAGTAAATGTGTTTTGAAAAACCTGCTACAGTCGATTCATTTCATATGATCATGTGTGCACCCGCACACACCGTCCATCTTTGGCGTCCCCATCTCGGATTTGCGATCGCAAAAACGCGAGAGAGTGAGCAATTGCTATCGCTTACATCATTCAGAGATAAATAGTACCTGAAAAGAAAAGAAAACAGCGAGAAAACATCAGAATCGCTTAACGGAAGGGTTGCGTCCTCCAAGAATCCAGGATGGGTACGCCAAAGATGGAAGGTGTGTGCAATGGCACACATGATCATATGAAATGAACCGACGGTAGTCATTTCTGAGTCCTCTTCTCTGAATTTCTGTGCAGCAAAGAACAGGCATATTATTTTGGTTACTGTGCATCATACTTAGAATTCGTTTGAGATAATGCCTCATCGACTAGAAGAGATCGTCGCTCGAGCTGATCAATTTATGCATCACATTATAAAGAGCCAAATCGACTCAGCATCATACCCTGTGTATTCAGCAACTACCTTGAAAGAAGGCGTGAGATTTCAATGTTGACATAATGAACAATGCTGAAGTAAATAAGTGTCGTGAAGTCAAAGTCGCTTACTTATTTTTACTGGCAATTGCTACTAAACGGCAAGATCAACAGTATCGCAGGTGTAGAGTAGTGATTATATTGTAACTTGGATGGTTTTGAAGAATTTACGCAAAAATCTATTGTTAGCCAAGCTCCACCGGAATTTTATTATATGAGTTGAGGGATTACACTTGCTAAACGTACTCGACGGATAGTTCATGTCTATCATCATCTCGCCTCATAGCATCAGTCAACCTCACTTTTCTACTAACTACCACACTGACTGGTGGGCCTGGAGTCTCAACATGCTACCTTGTGCTGTGCATACATTCCTTCACTTCTAGACAAAAATGGCATGGATCTTGGATACAGTGGAATTTGTGCTGACATTCTCACTATGTGCTTCGCAGTTAGTGTTTTCCGTCCTTCGCTCCATCTCTTCTTCTGTCAATCCGACAATTGCCGATTCTCACTCCTTTGGTAAGGTTTTGACTATATGGGGTATCAGAATGCACCAGTACTCAATTAAATGATAATCTGTTAGTAAAGCAACAATTTTTGAGGAAAATTATTGCAGAAGAATTTATGTGCTCATTTTGGTTCCTTGCATTATGCGGATGTTTGACAAGACGACGTTATATCATTGTATTTACCACTATGGCCATGTTCTACTCGTTTGTGCTTTCTCTGAAATGGGCCACAGAAGCTCAATATAGCGTAAGGTGATCCCTGCGCTTACAAAATGACTATATGGTACTTTGTAGTATTTGAACGGCACTCAATTGTCCTGCACAAGAATACAGAGACATACCGACCCTACTTGGTGCAGAAATGCGGACATTTTTTTAGTTGTTAGCGGCATAATCGCCATTTTGGCTACGGTATCATTCTCTCACTTTCAAAAATGACCAGTGACGAGCTTTCTTCAGTTGGCTGCGGCTGTGCTTTCCTCGCTAAGGTTATGGTCAGAGGAGGAAGACAATGAGGAAAAATCAGAAACATTGCTACCTCACCCTAATGATAGTCGAAAGAAGCAGTCCATGATCAGTGCTTTCCGTAGTACAATCAACTGACAATAAACTGATGTTTCTGTTGTGATAGTCAGTAACACCGCTCTGCTGGTCCGAAAATTCTATTCACTACAAGTTGTGCGACTCCTGTTTCACATGTGCCGCATCTTTAGCAGCGAGCGCGGTTTCGCTCGCCAAAAAATGTAGCCAGCTGCCTTTCTTCTTCCTTCTTCCAGCTGATCAACCTTTTAAACCTTCTAAGCATCAAACTCTAATGTTCTTCTCCTACTTGCTCCCCAGTGGAAGGGCTTTCCGCAATCGTAAAGTCGCCGAGATTCGAGACCTGCAAGTGGAAGGGTTCCTTCAACCCACATTAGTTTTAACTCATTGACGACGATGCGGACTACCAGAGGCCCACACCTCTTGCAAAGTCATATTAATTGTAGGTCCAGTATTTTTTTCGTAAATCAACATCTTATCCAACTTTTTGCATTCATGGGACTCGTGTGCTCCGTAATTCAAGAACATGTTTGTAGTTGTTTACAAGACAATCTCGCAATTTGTAAGTAACCGTGGAACCTTCCCACACCGAAATTGTTGTGCAAAATCGCGTCGCCCCCGAGCGCCGCCATGCATAGGCATCGCCGTCAATGGGTTAAAGGCACCGTCCACCCAGATTTTCGACTTCGGTGTTTTCGTCATTTCAGGGCCTTCTCATGTCCCTGATTCCGAATATGAAGTCGAGAATACGCGAATACCGCAACAATCCCTGTTTCGAAGAGCCCACAGGCCGGCTTTCCGGAACGGTGATTGGATGGGCGCGCACAAATGGGCGGGCATGGATGGGGGTCCTCGTGCATCTTCGCTATTCCGGAGCGATTTTCTCGCTTCCGAAGCGGCATTTTGCGCCGCGACTTGGGCAATGGTTTAATAGGGGGTCCCTACTATTATACGCTGCCAAAAGCTCAACACCCTCAACTTAGGGTGGACGGTGCTTTTAAGGGGCATACATGAAACATTGCGCAAGCACTTTATACTTACAGGGAAGCTCTTGGTGGAGAGGACGTTTACTGTGAGTATCAAAGGCAGCGTCCAGGCACTTCTAACAGTAGGGACTCGGAGTGGAAACTGTTTTGGGTTTCAAGAAAGGCACTGCCTAAGCTGCAGCGCAGATGGTGCACATGCAGCTGATTTTGATATATTTGTTCTCAAACTAGATCCAGCTGCCGTACTTGGTCGACTGCTTGCACTGGGTTGCATGCTGTTTGGGGTGTTGCCCATCACACACTTCAGTGGTCCCCGCGCGACACTGCCTTTGAGAACAGATGTTACTGAAGTTAGTAAGGAATGCCGATTTCTCCAACTCTTATCGGCGACGAAAGAGGCTTTGGCGTCAAAAACAAAAACCCCTTTTGTGAGTGGGTTTTTTCCTGCGACCTTCTATGCAACAATGAAGCACCCATTGCACAATTTTGCCACCAACTAACTTTAGTAACGTATATCTCATCTCGAATGGCTATTTGAACAAATGGGCACTCCTTGTTAGGTACAGACGTATGATTACTACATATGACTCAGGACAAGTGGCGTACCGAGGGGGGGGGGGGGGTGGAGGGAGGGCGCACGAGGTGACGGGTCGCAAAATTTTTGAAAGTACTTACATGGGTTATAAAATTGTGCAAATGACTTGTCTGCACTTGTAAATGATTGAAATAATTTTTAAAATTTTAAAATTTATTTTAGCCTTGTAAAAAAACCTTTTTCTGAATTTTCATTCTGAGCCCGCGAGAGCATGCCAAAAACTTTTCGGAGTGCGTGGCTGACGCCACGCACCTTCATCGGGAAAAATTTTTTGTCACGCCCCCCCCCCCCCCACCCCGAGCCGAAATCCTGGGTACGCCACTGCTCAGGACATCTGTCAAATTTGCAATAGTTATAAACATACGTCGCCCGTGAATGCTGGGTCTGAAGACATCTGCGAATTGCTTCTGCTTGGGATACATATATGGCGAACAAGCTAGCAATGCCTGCAACAAATTAGGAACTAGAGCAGGGATAGCAGCAATTTTTGAAGTGGACGATATGCCTGGGCCTTACAAGTACGTGATGCGTGTTTCACATTGCTACGGACACCCTGTCGTAAAAACATTATGACGCTCCACATAAGATTGCAGAACAATAAGCAGCCCTAACCTGATCTTAACAAGGCACGGAGTAACAAAATGGAAATGAATATAAAGGGTGTCTTAGAAAGATATAACGAACGTTTTAACGTTGACAACTCCCTTGCCAAGGAGTCTCTGGAGAAGCTTCAAGACAAATTTGTGGCAGTATGAAGCAATCACCGATTGCTTTTCATTACCTCAGGATGGTAAGAACTTCCGACAAGCGTCACTGTGAAAAAAGCTACCATTTCAAAAATTTTCAAAAAAAGTGAAAACTTGAATAATAGGATTCTCATGGATGCTGTGTTTGATCCTTAAATTTAAACAAGATTGTGACGCTTTCCAAATGACGTAACCACATTTTTTTTCAACGAAAAAACAGATGCTACTGCTTACCGACAACTTTTTTAACGGAGCGTTATGGTAAGATGCCAACTCCATATTCAGAATCAGCAGCTCTAATCGGTAGTTAGATTTTTCAGGTCGTTTCTTTCTTTAGGCAAAATATAGCCCTCCATGGCTTAAAATCCTCTTCAAAGTTCCTAATATGGTGTCACATTAAGGAGGAGCCATCGGCCATTCGCTGCAGCATACCTAAATCCAATCTGAATACACCTTTAAAAATGTTACCTGAAGCTTCTCCAAATACTTCATAGCAAGAGATTTGTTAACGATCTAATGTTTATTACGTCTGTTCGGGACATTCTGTGCAATCCAGCAGTGGTTTGAAAGTTCAATAGATCTTAAAAGGGTTTTCTTTTGATAGACTGATACTAATGAGCCACTTATTCTCTGTTCCATTGTGATAAAATACAAATTTTCCGATGCATATGACTTTTCTCAGTTTTTTCCAAGAATTTGGGCTCTTCCTGAGAAAATAAAAACGGGGTGTTTTTGAAATTCACATATACGCACATCACAGGAATAGCTGCTAAGGTTTAAGGGAAGTATGCGGTAAATCTATAGAATTTTGAAATCTCAAAATTTCATCAAGTACGGAAAAGAAGTGCTCAATAATTACCGCTAAAAAGGAACATTTATTCTAGTTTAGGAAATTGCTTTTTTTATTGAGCATGTTACTCCAAGTAATATGCTTTCTTGACTGAGCTACTCTGAAATTCGTTAGCCTGAGGTTACTGATATTTGAAGGTGGTATCCAGGCAAATATGGATGACATTATGTGAAAACGACGTGAATACACCCGAACTAGGCGGTTGCTCTAGCTGCAGCCCATCTGTCTCATTCGCGGCTAAGAGATACGATTTAAATTTTTGAACAGATCGCTCTCTTTTCACGATCAGTTTCTGTCTTCCTTCTTCGAGCTCATGCAGATACGGTTGAATCACAGTTATTGAAACGGAGCTTATAGCTTTTTGCATTCTGCGCAGTATGCTTAATCCATATATACATCAAATAATGTCAATGTGCGCGGTGCGTTTCATGAGCAGGTTTTCGCTTCGGATACCCATGTAGAACTCAAGCAAATCCGAGATGAAATGTTCAAGTTTTCTAACAGTTGGTTTTCTTTGCAGCAACCTTTCCTTGTCCGCATCAAGTAAGGATCAAGTAAGGAAGTCTAAAAAGACACAATGCAACAATCCAAGTTTCTTTTAACAGCGCTTACTCGCATTTTTAATCTGCGCTAGTCCGACGTACAACCAGTAGAGACACGATGATGTTCGAAAAGTACTTGTGTAACATTTCAAGAAGTACTTGTGTAACTAAAGTGACTATAACGTATACAACCTTTTCGACCTTTAGAAAGGTCGAAAATCGTTGAAAAAATACAAAAAAAGGCTCATTAGCTACCTGATGATATCAATTTTCCAATGGCTATCAAAGAAATTTTTTTGGGGAGGAGGGTGAGAAAGGGGAGGGGGGGGGGGTGGAAGAAGAAGGACAACTCTGCAAATGCAAGGATGTAGCCCTAGCCACACTTCGGTAAATTTGGGATGCTTTCAGAAATTCGTACAAACCCAAAACTTCTTCAAAAATTGTTCGAAGCTAATTTTTTTGGATTTTTGAAATATTATTCTTAATTGGTCAGAGGCGAAAACAAGCCATATGCGCAGTTTTTAACTCATGTATGATAATTCTAAGAATTCGCGACCGTTCCTGGGGAGGAGGGGGGAGGTGTGTACCCTCCGGTCCGGCAATTTTCATATGATAATTGATACTGACGAAGAAAAAGAGAAAGAGTCCTATCATGATTTTGCGTGACTTAATTTCCTTTTATACTATTTGGTGCTATAATCTGAACCAAATGAAGTGAAGCAAAAAAATTTTGTAACTTGACTCTACTAGCCATTACTGAGCTCATTAGACATATCCTTAGGTATTTTCTATCAGAATGTGCACACCCCGTGCAGCCTCCTATCAGTCCTTCCTTATCTTTGGCGCCATTTGCGTATCTTATTCTACTTATCTTTATATTCCATGCAGAATTTCTAACATTCCCCTTTCGCTGCATAGTGATAACCATTGATCCCGACTGTCATTATTACACCTAGATGATGACTCAATGATAAGAGAACATTATGTGTCGTTCAACAGCACGAAGGCCACTTTTTAATTCTAATTTTACAAGTGTAACATCTACTTTTTCGGTGTAATACATTATGTCATATCAAACTTGTAATACGTCAAAATTTTTTGAGGAACTTCTAAGACCGGATAAGCAACTGCTACCAGGTCACCTTTGAGTCTTAATTACCCTCTTCTTTTTAAAGAATTTACATCAGCAACGGGAATGAAAAAAATATTTTCTTACAGCTCTGTTAGCTTCATATCCTGGCTTTTGCGCTGATATATCCATGTCTGCCAGCTGTTTCAATATTCAGTCTTCTTTTTTGATGTCTAAGAAAATGTTTGCAATGGCTTTGACAGTGCTTATTACCACAACGAATTACCGCTGGAGTCGTCGCGACTAACAAACATATCTGCGGCAAATTCGCATTTCGCAAGAATTTTTGCCGGGGCTTAAAGTTCCACATTATCCACATTAGAGTTTTGAAGAATTATACAAATTAAGGTTTGTTGAGCGAATTTACGGAAAAATGAGTTCTTGCAAAGTATTCTACTTCATTTTCTATCTTTCTACAAAAACCAAGTACTTTAAGCTATTTGACCTTGCTAAAGGGCAAAACAAGGGCCCACTTTCGCTACAGGTAAGACCGGCTCATCTTTGTGCCTAACTAATGCCACTCATTAGCTTACATTACATCTAGAACAACGCGAGCTTGTAGCTAACGGTGTAAATACGTCGTAAACACACTTTATGCTAATCTGTTACTCAAGAGTGTCCACTTCGGTCTTTTATGAGTTGTGCGCAGAATGTCGTCCAGTTTTAACAGTCTGTATTTATGCACCTTTGAATATTTTCGCTGATGAAGTATTGCTGGTAAATTGTCTTTTCGAGACAATGAATAAAACCGCTTTACTTTTCTAGCCTTTTAAGTAAGGGAAATCGAACTGTATTTCGAAACAATCTGTTAAATCAACTTTTCAATCTGTTAAACTAACTTTTAATCTTTGTTTCCTTTGCAAACGTTTCAAGGTTGCACTATGAAAGACAACATTTTTAAACAGCACACTGGAACCCAATTGCAATGCTGATAATTTCCAATTCAAAAAACAATTCAAAAAACATATCCTGTCTACCGTCGAAAAAACAAGGCGGGATTCGACTAGACATTTGCTGATATTATAGGCATGCTCAAATTTTACACTGTAATTTTCTGAATATCAACACCTTCATAGTTACCACTTTGACATACGCAATTTATATATGCTTATTGATTCATTTTATCATGATTTCAGATGATCCTGCTATTATTAGCCATTCCAATAACTGTTCTTGCGGAGAACTTTCTGGTCGTTAGCATGGACCAAGGACGTTCTCATACCGGATCGTTTGCTCCACTAATGCATCGTCTTCAACAACATAATCATTCTGTCTCTGTCTATTTCAACATCTTCAAGCCTGAAATGGATTTTGGACTAAAAAACGAGTTTATAGACGTTTCTGAATGTAAGAATGACTACTACTAGTGTTCTTAATAGGTGGAATGCCCCAGAAAGTATGATTTTGGCAAATAACGAGCAAGGATAGCATTACATAAAACTTCTATTAGTTTAAAGCCGTTTCTTGAACCAGAGCGGAGAATAAAATCCTAAGATAGCGAACTTGCTGATGATAGTGGGTTACATTGTTAGACTTCATCTCGGAACGTCATTTTCATGAGAAATATTAGGTTGGTCCGGGTAATAATGTCGCATGGCATCCTACCGCGAAAGAACGACAACAAAAAACAGCGAATGGGGTATCATTTGATGGAGTAAAGCAAGCTCTACAAGGTAGTTCACAAAACTCCGCGGAAGTCTTGCTCCACCTGAAGTTCGAATCCAAAATATAAAAAAATTTCAAGTACCCAAAACATCGTATCTTCGTTCATAGACGTCTTAGGGATATCCAAATTGCACAGGCATGTACTCTCCACACTAGACATTCAACTCTATGGTTTTAGTATTCCATGGCTACAGTACAACAAACAAAAAGAGGTCAAAAGTGTGAATATGTCGCGTTTTTCGAGATTTTTGCAAACAATTTGATTTTTCTCGAAAACTAGCAAGTGTCTAAAGCTGAAAATTCATGGTTATACTCCTAAAGGTTCACACTACAGGATCACCCATGTGAGAGAAGCTCAAGATTGCTTTGGCAAAAATATGACGAATTTCGTTTTCTCGGTTTTCAGCCATGGAAAAACCGCGAAGTTGTGCGTACAAGTGTCTCGTATAGTGAGTTCATTCGTGAGCAAGTTAGGGGTTCCCAGGACTTTTCTGAACGGAGAAACGATTTTTTTCGTTTTTTTAGGTCTTTAAAGCGTTATAAAATTTGGCTCCAAACTTCACGCAAATCAGACTTGGGGCGAAAATTTGAGCTTCGTTTTGTAGAGCTTGCTCTGAACTATCGGTTGTTACCCTACTTGCTTACTTTCGTAAGCACGCTGCTGTGATATTGCATGTCCGGACAACCTAATAGAAATCAAAAGACCTCTACTTCATATATTTAAGATTTTTAGAATGAAAAGGTTGTTTCAGTTCCAATGGCCCAGAGCATGTTTGGTCCGGACAGTGCTTTCTTCAAAATTGTATGGAGGATGGAGCCGTCAGTCGCGCACCAGGTAAACGGCAGTGAGCAAATTGGGAAAAATTTGATTTTGTGCAGGAAAACTGTCATGAATAGATATACTACGGCTTTATCACATTAATTTGACAAGTCGCACTAACGCCGTGACATTTTCGAATTTTAAAAGGTTTCATACAAATTTATCAGAATCTGTAAAGAGTCCGTATGCCGAGATTTCGGTGTAGTAGAGTAGGGTATAGAGCTAAAGAGGATTTCAATCGTAGGCACCATGCTTCGACAATTTCAATTACCTAATTCCTTCAAAAAATAGACTGCTAGTTGTAGACGTCCATATCGTAATTCTCTAATGATTAAAATCTTATCTTAGACTGTTGCATTCTACAAGCATGCAGAGATTTGCAAGACGGTCTTGGATAAGAAACGTTCACAGTTCAACCGACTAGCACAAGGTAAAACCAGACAAGCCATTCATTTTCAAGGCTAAATTCATCAATCTGTAGTCTAGGAATTGTAGTTTGTAGCTGCGTGAAGAATTATTCACTTTCTAGACCATAATGCTTCCAGCTGACTCAAAAAAGTTGAAGGTCATGCTCTGATTTAGGTAACTGGGACATGGTTTTTGCTGATTCGCTATTTGCTGTCTGTGGTTACGGTATTGCAAAACTAAACAGACGTCATCATGTGATGATTCATTCCAGTGATATGGAAAGTGCACAAAGTACTGCAAAAGCCTTTCATAGGTAGGATAAACTTATGAATTTACTTTCAATTTTTTACATGAGAGCAGATATTCCCTACTAGTGGACATTTCGAAGAACTACAAGAGCTTGATATTTTGAATTTGAAAAAATACTTTCAGTAGCCATGCTTGTCTCTTCACTTACAGAAACTAATCTCTTTACTTACAGAAACTACGCTTTGCTTCCTCCGAACTTCATGTCATACAGCTACTCGTGGAGAGATGTGAGCGGTGTAGTAGTTTTTTTTTTGACAAGCCCATTGAGATCTGATTTATATGAAAAATTAGTGTGACTATATGGTAGCAACTTACATGCATAAGCGATAAAATGTAAAAATATGTAATTTTTTTCTTGATTTCAAGCAACACAATTTGCGAGAATTACCTATTTTCAGCCATCATTTTTCGTCGACAGGATGAAGTCAGCAGTTGACTGGTTTGGATCAATCATTGTTACAAGTGTAATTTCGGATCAATTTATGAAAGTGGTGAGTTTGTCTTTGGGTTTCAGATTACGGTCAAAGCCAAAAAAACCCCAAATACAGCTTTCAAGATGCCTAACGAATTTTGCTGGGAAACGTTCAACTCTTAGACAGAGTGATGGACAGTGGCACAACTGACTGTCGTTTTAAAAATTTTCCGAGCACCCCGTAACCTTGGTGCTTCGTTTAAGAAAGTGATGATCTTCCTGCTCTACGTGCCCCTTTGATTACCAGTTGTTCATGAAAAATGTACTACTCCATTTACTCTGCAGTCAGTGTCAATCAGGTGCTTCCTTTCCTATGAACTCAACAAGCTTCGCGACACGTTCGCGCGCGTATGACTCGGACATTCAAATGGGCATCATCGATTGAAGGTCCGCACGCAGGCCCATGCGTTGCGCATCCGTAGTTCCCTTGCGAAAGGGAGTACGTAATTGACATTGACTGTACTCTGTTTTCAACACTCGATTTCATAAGCGAAAGCCGGAGAACTTCGGGTGACCCCGCATAGAAAGCATAAAAGTGCAAACATTGGCGCATGGAGAGCGAAAGTGCATATGGGAAGTGTTTTTCTTGTTTGCAACTCGTCGGGGAGTGGAAATGGCACCAGATGTCACTGAATGTAATATCTTGCAGACCAAGGAAAGCTCCTTCGTACAGTATAGGTCCTCCCTGATGTAAGAAAAATTGGCTTTGACAAGCTATATCGATAGCACGCAGAGACCGGCCGCTATTGCAGACACTGTCGGCGTCTCTCACAAGGGAAGTTCACTTAGTCGAAATGGCGATTCGGAAGGAGATCTATACTAGTGGATAGAGCTTAAAAAGCTGATTTTAGATATACCTTCTATATCTGCGATGCGTTATTTTGAAGAAAGTTATGAGCTTTTCTGAAGCCAAATTTTCGTGCATTTTGAGCCCCAAAATCGTGATAATCGCTACACAAAAGTGTGCAAGCTTAGGCAAACCACCTAGTAAGCATTGTAGGTCTAATTCGAGTTCATTCAAACTTTTCGAGTGTTCTCCGACAATGTTGTTTATTCACAGCCCGTCATTTCCTTCTTAGATCACACTTCCATTATGTATGCAAAAAGCCCATAACCTCCATCTAAAAAAACGCGTCGCAGATATTGAGGATATATTTGAGAACATCGTTTTACGTTCTATTGTTGTTAGTGTCCAAAAAGTTCCCCACGGGACGCGTTTTTTCTAGATGGAGGTTATGGAGCTTTACTATATACATAATGAAAGTGTGATCTAGGAATGAAATGACGACTTGTGGATGAACAATGTTCGAAAAACATTCCAAAGCATTTGGACGAATTCGAATTAGGACTACAATGCTTACTAGGTGGTTTGCTTAAGCTTGCACACTTTTGTGTAGCGATTATCATGATTTTGCACTCAAAATGCACGAAAATTTGGCTTTAGAAAAGCTCATAACTTTTCTCAGAACATTGCATCGCAAATATAGAAGGTATATCTGAGATCAGCTTTTTAAGCTCTATCCACTGGTATAGATCTCCTTCCAAATCGCACTTCGACTAAGTGAAATTCCCTTCCCTTCCTTGTCAGACCAAAAGCACCTTCATTACTCTAGCCGTCTATTGTCTCTTGCAAACAAAAACCAAGATCGAACGCAACGTCCAGTCTGTACGTGCGAAAAAATGCGTATATCTGGGGAGCGAGAGTGCTTCAAGCTTAGGCTCACGCTACACCTACATGGTCCGCTTGATCCACTTTATCCACTGCGCTATTGGTCAGATCAGTGAACTGTCCAATAGCAAAGCGAATATTCACTTGATCACTTGATCTACTTGATCCACTTCGCTATTAGTCAATTCACTAATTTTGCCAATATTGTGGATATAGTGGATCAAGGATCAAGAGGATCAAGTTGGATCTTATAAAATGGCCTCGCTAAAAAACTGCTACCATAACTTTGCCAGTAAATGGTTTGCCCAAGCACGATTATTTGAAAAGAATTTTTCAAGAAGTTGCTGCTGTCAAGTTGTAGGAATTTGAGGGCACAAAGACTGATTTTTCAGGCTCTGTCACCTATAGTGCAAGGATTTTCCTTTGCTGAGTTCTGCCGCACTAGCACATTCAGCTTTACTGACATGCCAGAGCTACTGTATCCTCCTGCACCTCGTACAAACGATGTGAGCATAGTTTGCAGAATATTTTGATAAGTCATGTATAAGAAAAGACTTTTTAGTACTACTCTTATGGATCATATTGCAAAGAAGGAAAGCCACTGCCAAAGGACCTCCAAGATTTTGTGTCAGATCCGCACTCCCGAGGAACCATAGTTGTTGCATTTGGAACCATTGTACCCTGGGATGCTGCTCCACTGAACAAATTGCAGTCTTTCGTGGACGTGGGTAAATTTCAACCAAAATTCTGATCTAATCTTCCTTTTTTCTTCGTTTAGGCACTCAACAATTTTACGGACTATCGCATTGTTTGGTCGTATAATGGAAGAAAGATCAATGTGGAGAAGCATATCAAACTTTCTAAGTGGATACCTCAAAATGACCTGCTACTACATAGGAAGACTGTTCTCTTCATAAGTCATGGAGGTCTCAAAAGGTAGTGCAACCACTTATGTTTTTAATGAATGTAAAATTTTTTGTTGCAGTGTAAAAGAAGCAGCCTGCAGCGGAACTCCTTCACTTCTTATGCCCATGTTTGCCGAACAGATGAGAAATGCATGGTTAGCAAAGAATAAGGTAGGTCTCATCTTATATCTTACCCATGTAAGAAGCGGTTTTTTAGGGTTATGCGGAAATACTGAACAAATTTCTTGTATCGAAAGCTTACCTAGAGCAGAAAATTCGCGATATACTGGTTGACCCAAAATATGCGGCAAAAGGAAAAGTTTTGAAAGAGGTGAGTGCTTCGTCGGCCACAACCGTACTTCTGTCAAACTGTAAGTTCAAGAAGTTTGTGTAAAGTAGCTGGGTTCGATATATTTTGTTGAAAAGGCTATGTACCTTAAAGTTCAAGTTCGAGGTCAAAGGGTTTGTTAGGTCACTTGACATCAACAAATGGCCGAGCCAAACCAAGTAAGAAGTAACTAATTAGAGGATCTAAACGAAGTTGTAGCCTAAGTTTGTATAAAAATCCACTTTCAATGAAAAGAATAGTGCCGCAGTAAGAAAAAACAGGAACAAAACAGAAAACTATCAATTTCACAGTATATTAGGTCGTTCGTAATTCCTTCGTTTTTTGAATTTATGTTACTTTTCGCTATCTCAACGGAATTGCTTCCTTGTAATTTTTATTCGAAAGAACAAGTATTTTGCATGTATATACTATCTTGCGCAGATTCTAGCAGGCACTGAACTGCAGAGATATTGAAAAGAATCATACAAGCTTTGATTATTTCATGTTAGACCGCCAAATCTGGAACGCTGCAGAAAAATTTGAAATCGTCAATACATGAGTTCTTTGAACTACTTTTGCAAATGTGGAAAGTTTGTGCCATTTGGACGTCTTTGGAAAAGTAATTTTTGACAAAAGTAACAAATTGATTGACTTTAGCGCTTCATGCAGTAAACTCGAAATTCATAACTTTTCAGAGGGAAGTCAAACAGCGCATACTTTTCACGTTTGCAAAGGGTACATGTACTGACAATTTTCAGATTTTTCGGCGCGTTCCAGATTTTTGGCCACCAAACTCAGCATGAACAAAGCTTGGGCCTTTCCATTTTTATCCCTGCAGTCAGTACGTATTAGAAGCTGCGCAAGAGAGTATCCGAAAGCAAAACACTTGTTCTTCCTAATAAGATCACAAGTAAGCAAATCCGTTGAAATAGCGCAGAGTAACATTCTTCAAAAGTGAAATGACAGAACGTTCAGCAGAACCTAACATTAGCAAGCGTGAAAATTTATCGGAACTTTGGCAAAGCATTGTAAAGTAGGTTCGTGGTGGGTCCTGCAGTGGTATTCAAGTTATCAGGCACAAAGAAATTTAAATCGAGTTAAGTGTTGCAAGCCCAGATTATGCGACCTTCTCTTGCCGAAGTTTGTACACTGCTGTTTTAAGAACAAAAGTGGCTCAAAAAATTGGTGTTAAATCTTTTTTTTTCAAATATTTTACCTTAATTTGCAGGAGATTCTAGACCGACCATTACACTCTCTCGATCATGCCACATTCCTCGTGAATCGTCTGCTCAAGTATGGGGGAAAATTACCACAATTTTTTTACCCTCGTTCATTAGAGCTTAGCTATCTCTCGACTCTGAATCTGGAAGTTGCAGCGATGTTGCTTCTTTCTTTGATAGCCGTGTCCTTATAATGGCTTCTAGATTTTATGCATCTAATCTAAATTTACATGTAAATAATAATTGCGACCAAAGTTTTATTGGTGACTTGTACATGAATAAAGGTATACATCATCACGTCAGTAATAAATGGACTTTCCTACAAAATTTCCATCAGTATACAGACACAACTTAAACCTCCTCTATGAAATACAATAAAAGCAGTATGTCTCTAGAGTCAGTACGTATACGTTATGCATTACATGTATTCTTGTTTCAAAACTGGAGCTCTAATTCTAACAAAAACACATATTACCAGTCACCAAAATTTCAAGGCTTTTAGCATTGACTGCCGCTCCTTAAATTCGTCAATCCCCGTCCAAATTTGTGCTGCTATAGAGTCAAAATTCGGCCTCGATTGTGGATCGCTAGCAAAGCAGCTCTGCAATGATCACTTGGAGTGACCGCCAAAATGGCTCAAAGGCACTGTCCACCCAGGATCTCGACTTCATGTTTTGGCCGTTGCGACCTTCTATGTCCCCGATTGCGAACATGAAGTCGAGAACCCGCGGAAACCCTGACAGTTTCCGTTTCAAAGAATTCTCAGGCCGGTACTCCGGGATGGGATTGGATGAGCGCGCACGGAGGGATGGAGATTACTGGAGGGGGCGGTGCCGACTTAGGGACCTCATGCCTCTTCGCTATTCCGAAGCGATTTCCTCGATTTCAAAGCAACATTTTGCCCGCGGCTTGCGCATTGGCTTGTGTTGTGGAACGCGTTGAGTCGTTGACAATTTATTAGAAAAACACAAGAGTTCCCCCTCTGCCTATCGGCGTACATGCCGAGGGTTCACTAGAAATAGCTCAGGAACAACACACAAAATATATCAAGGTGCGGCGGGTACGCCGCAACCACAGAGACCATATCGACCTAGCCTATAGTGAGCGAGCAAGTTCCAATATAAGGGACGGCTCTACAACACCTCCCTCCTAAGATGAACAACGGTACATCTTACAAAAAGGATCTACTTGTAGACGTTCTGGTGGGCGACGATGGCGACTTGGTCTGGTTGATGACGTAGTTGAAGTTGCATGGCGTTCAGCGATGTCCATGCCATTGTCCAATGGGTCTTCTTCGGAACGCATGGTGTGCGATGAGTCACGACGGCGATCCATACTTGATCCACTACGCATCTGGTTCGCATGTCGTCTCCATAACTGGTTGTCTTCCGTAAGCACATCGTATACGGCTTTTCCGTAGCGTTTCTTCACACGCGCTGGAACCCATTTTTCACATCCAGAGCGAAAATCACGTACCCACACGTCTTGTTGTGGTTGGTACGCTTTCTTCCGTGCTCCATGATGACTGTTAAACTGCTTCTCCATGGTTTCATTGGCCAACTTTCCTTCTTCTTTGGAATCTTCATCTAACAGCGACAGCGGTGTCCTTATCTGACGTCCCAGCAACAGTTCGGCCGGCGAAAGCTGTCCAGGGGTAGACGTCGAGGGCGTTCTTCGATAGCATTGCAAAAATTCTGCTAGCTTCTGTGCCGTCCCTCCCTCCTTGATTTTCTGAAAAGTTCTCTTGAAGATATCCACAAACCTCTCGGCTTGACCATTCGATTGTGGATGGAACGGAGGGGAGCGCATATGCTTGATTCCTTGCTCTTCACAGAAATCTTAGAATTCCTTTGCCGTAAACTGTGTTCCATTATCCGACACGATTACTCGCGGATTTCCGAATCTTGCGAAGAGAGTCTGAGTTCCTTTAAAGTTGCAGCAGTCGACGATGACGACATTTCCAGCACTTCCGGCCATTTGGAGTACGCATCGACTACGACAAGATACATCTTTCCATTTAGTGGTCCTGCATAGTCAATGTGGATTCGGTTCCATGGTTTTTCTTCCATTTTCCATGAATGCAGTACAGTCTTCACTGGCATCTTGGCCGCTTCTTGACATTCCCTACAGCGGCGCACTGAGTCTTCGATGTCTTTGTTGATGCCCATCCAGTATGCGAATCCTCTCGCGAGCATCTTCATCCTTGTCATTCCAGGGTGTCCCTCGTGTAACTGCTTCAAAACTTCTTGTCGCAGCGAGACTGGAATAACTATTCTGTGGCCAAAGTACAAACATCCATTTTGCACTGATAAACTCTCGCCCAGTGCTCTCCAGTTTCCGATATCTCCTTTCGGCTTGGACGGCCACGATCCTGACTGCAGCATTTGTATAACCTCCATGATGTTTTCGTCCTTACGGGATTCCTCTTCAATCTTACTCCTGGTCACTGGTAGCGCTCGTACAGCGGCAGCTTGAACGGCTTGCACATCTTCTTCTATCTTCGCTATCACGACGTCCTCGGTTTGGAATGGCCGTGGAGGGATCAATCGAGACAATGCATCGGCTTGTCCGAAATCGGTCGTCTTCTGGTACTCCAAATCGAAGTCGTATGCGAGAAGAATAAGTTTCCATCGTTGCAATCTGTTCGCTGTGTACACAGGTACCATCTTCTTCGGTCCAAAAATGTGCAGCAGCGGCTTGTGGTCGGTGAGCAGCCTGAATCGACGTCCGTATATATATCGATGGAACTTACGCACTGCGAAAACCAGTGCAAGTCCTTCTTTTTCAATTTGTCCATAATTCTTCTCGGCATGACAAATCGCCTTTTCCGATCCATCCGGCATCTTGTGTAAGATCACAGCTCCAATTCCGTAATCCGATGCGTCGGCAGCTACCACTATCTGCAACTTAGGGTCGAAATGTGTAAGGAGTAGATCCGAGGTCAAAACTTCCTTAGCACGCTCGAATGCGTGTTGGCATTCCTTTGTCCACTCGAACCTTGCTTCCTTCTTGAGCAGTGCGTCCAAAGGTGCACGGAGCTGGCGCATCTCTGTTACGAATAATCCGTAGTAGTTGATCATGCCGAGGAAGGAACGAACATCTGCTATGTTCTTCGGGGCTGGCATTTGTTGGATGACCTCAATTTTCTTCGGATCCGGCCGGCGTCCGTTCTTGTCGATAATGCAGCCTAAGTAGCAAATTTCTGGCATCAGAAAGTTGCATTTTTCCAACCTGACATGGAATCCATAGTCCTTGATCCGCTTGAAAAGAGCTTCCAAATTTTGGCGATGCTCTTCGTAACTCCTTCCCGTGATGATGATGTCATCGAGATAAGCGGCTACTCCATCAAGTCCGCTTATCATAGAATCCATAATCTGTTGAAATATGCCTGGCGCGGATTTTACTCCAAAAGGTAGGCGATTGTAGCGATACAATCCCTTGTGCGTATTGATGGTTAGCATCTCTCTCGATGCTTCTTCAACTTCCACCTGTAGATAAGCTTCGGCCAGGTCGAGTTGTGTGAAAAGCTGGCCTCCGTTTAGTTTTGCGAACACCTCCTCCGCCGTGGGCAATGGGTGCTGATGCAGCTGCAAAGCATCATTCAATCCTGTCGAGAAGTCGGCACATAGACGAATTTTGCCATTTTTCTTCTTGACGGCGACCACTGGCGCGGCCCACTCTGAGTGTTCGACCGGAGAAATGACTCCTTCGGCTACCAAGCGATCGATTTCGGCTTCCAGTTCCGGTGCTGACGCGTAAGGCACCGGTCGCTTCTTCTTGAAGACCGGAACAGCATCGCTCTTCAAGACTAATTTTGCCTTACTCTTCGTGCACTTTCCCAGGTCGCTGTTGAAGACTTCACCATACTTCTTCTTCAAGTCGGCAACCACTTCGGCTCGGAACTTCTCTTCGCTAGTCACCTTTCTGCAATGGTAGTTGTCCTTCAGCTTTTTGTATGCCGGCAGCTGGATGCACCATTCCAGTCCCAACAGATTCGAGCCTTCGGTGACGTAGCATGTGCCATTTCCACGAACCATCTTCCCTGTAACTCGATCTCTGACGGAAAAGTCGGTCGAGAATTTACCATGTATCTGCATTGGCGTTCCGTCTGCGGTTTTCACAGGCATCATACAAGGTTCCAGAGTAGGCGATCCTATCTTCTTCCAAGCTCTACGCGATATCAAGGTTATGTCTGCACCCGTATCCAGCTGGAGCTTGAGAGAGCATCCTTTGATTACGACGTCGAGATAAGTCCGCGCACTCTCGGCGTCGAAAGCGACCACATTCTTGCACTGTCCTTTGCGACCAAAGCGTTTTGCACCTGTCCTCCGTCGCTTCTTCCGACCAGTGCTGCCAGATTGAGGGCACTCTCTCCTGAAATGTGGTCCTCCGCATATGAAGCAATTCACCTTTTTCTTCCATACAGCATGGATGTCGCGCGTTCCTTCCATGTCTGTATTGTCCATTTTCAGGGCAGTGAAGTTTTCACAGTCCGTGACTAAGTCCTCTATTGTCAATGGTGCTTCTTCCGTGTGAGCGTCCAGTCGCCGAATCATCCGAAGGCGAAGTTCCCTAAGTGAGGGATCTTGAAGTCCTGCTACAAACTGCAGTGTCTTCATCGCCGTGTAATCAAGCTCCTTGAGGCGTGCATCCTCGTCCATCCGTTTGATAGTATTGGCGTAGTCGCGAAACGGTACGTACGCTGGCGTAAGCGGAGGGCACGTTATCCTTAGGCACTCATATCGTCTCCTGATGAGCGTCTTCTTGGAGGCGAACAGCTTTTGGAGATTTGCGACGGTGGTGTCGAAGTCCAAGTCGTTTGGTTGCGCAGGCAGGATCTCATCGGCATACTTTCGGTATGCTTCTTCATCCAGCTTCATAAGGACCAAATCGCGCTTCTTCTGATCCGAAAGTTGGGAGTCTCGAATGACCGGTCCGTACCTGCCATACCAGTAAGCAAAGGTGTTACCTGTATCTTCGTCTGAGACGAATCTTTGCACGTCTTTGCTCAGCTGATCGTACTGATCCTTGCTGACGTCCTGGACGGCTACCCTTTGGCTGCTGGTCAAAGCAGTGACCAACGCCTTCATTTGATCCTGTTGTGCTTGCAATTGCACTTGCATTTGCTCCTGTTGTGCATGCGACTGCATTTGCATTTGCTCCTGCAGAGCTTGCGTCTGCATTTGCATTTGCTCTTGTTGAGCTTTCCATTGTGCTTGCATATGCTCCTGTTGAGCTTGTAGTCGGGCCTGCATCTGTTCCTGCTGAAGCTGCATATGCAGCTTCATCTCCTCCTGTTGGAGCCGCATCTGGTCGACCATGACCGATAGGACCTTTTCCAGAGATTCGCCATGCCGCTCTTCACTGGCTTTCGGCATGGTAGACCTCTCTGGTGTCGACGAAGTCTTCTGCTAAATCGATAAGCTTCTCAGCAAAGCTTACTTGTCTGGCTGTCCTCGACCACTGACAGCTTCTTCCTTGATTCGAGCTGCAGCGCTTCTTCTCCTTGGTCGGTGGAGGCTTCCGGTCCTTGTCGATCGAGCTTCTTCTGGTCCTTGTCGGTCGAGCTTCTTCTGGTCCTTGGTCGGTGGTGGTCTTCTTGTCCTTGATCCTGATCGCCAGTTGTTGTGGAACGCGTTGAGTCGTTGACAATTTATTAGAAAAACACAAGAGTTCCCCCTCTGCCTATCGGCGTACATGCCGAGGGTTCACTAGAAATAGCTCGGGAACAACACACAAAATATATCAAGGTGCGGCGGGTACGCCGCAACCACAGAGACCATATCGACCTAGCCTATAGTGAGCGAGCAAGTTCCAATATAAGGGACGGCTCTACAACACTTGGTAGGAGGACCTGCTATAGCAAGCTGCCAAAAGCCTAAGACCCCTAACTTAGGGTTGACGGTGCCTTTAAAAGTACTTTGATGTGCATTATTTCAACGCAGAATTTGTGAATTGTACTAGAAAACATACCACTGTAATCGACCACATGTGCTGTGGATAATGATCGGATTCGTTCTCAAGTGTGTTGCCTGACAATACGTACTTCCTCACTTCCTTCGCATTCTTTTCGGCATAAGGTTCCTTGCCATCGTGAAACACCTATGTATCAACTCTCCTCTTTATATTCTGCAGAAAAACCTTATTTTTTTACCTCCCACATGAACACTCCAAAACTCCAAACATCAGTCTTTACGGTGTACTCTCGTTGCTTGAGTGTTTCAGGTGCCAAATATCGCACAGGGACCTCAACTAATTTTCTGGTGTAAACTATCCCGCTTCAAAAATTTAGATTGAGTTTCGTGATTATAAATTAAAAATAAATTTTTTGGAGATGAAATATATAGGGGAGTAGATCAGAGAGACACAGGATTAAAATAAATCACCATAGAGTCAAGCCTTTAGAGGTCCATAGGTATTTGCCGGATAATTTAAGTTATGCACGATGACCATTTCCGCTATAATCACTTAGGTAAAAAATAAGTATGGGCGATGACAACAAAGAACTGGATTTAGGAATTTTTCATATCCATTTCCCCACTTCCTCGCCTTTTGATGTCTTTTTGTTTGCAGACAAATTTACTATGCCATAAAATTCTTGTGATTACCTTTTTCAATGCCTTTTCTTTCTTCTGTGTACCAACAATGCTAAGTCCAAAATCCGAGATCTTGGCTACATCATTTTTACCAATCAAGCAATTCCTTGCTGCCACATCTCGATGTATAATCTGAGATACAAAAAAGATGTGAATATAATGAAAAATTCCTATTTCACTCACTCCCTGTGATGACAAATATTGAAGTCCTAAAGCTGCTCCGTGACAGTACTTGATGCGGATATAAATTGATGGACCAGGTTTTCCTTGAACTGCGTCGAGTACGGATCCTCCTGGGAAGCTTTTCATTTTGCAACTGATGAAAGGGATGTATCTGGTGGTACCTACCTGGCGCAAATTCCATTACTATCATCACTGGCTCCTCGTTTGACGCTACACCGATCAACATGACCACGTTCGGATGAACAAGACGTTTCATCAGCATAGCTTCCTAAAGGAAGAACCAATTTACGCTACATTTCGCACCAATGTTGGAACTTACTCTGAACAGTTTTTCATTTTCTTCCGTCGAGATGGTCCCCAAAATAGTTTTTATAGCAACCTCTTTTGATTCTATCAAGCCACATCGCAGTAATCCTTTGTAAACATCACCGAACGCGCCATCACCCAATTTTTTGGTTCTGTTACAAAAGCAAATTCTTTTGAAAAGCATTTTTGTCACATACTTGACGATTTGCTCGTGATTCAGCTGCCAATCTGCTCTTTTCACTGCTCTTTTGATGATTGTTCCATCTTCATCCAGCGGTATATGATTCCTTCGATGGTATTCGATCAAACCTCAAATAACAAGTTACAAGATATTCCAAGCGAATGGAAGTATCGTTGATTGTTGGCTGCACGGACTGCTTAAACGCTGCGGATCACGCGCGGCGCTGCTGAAATATTGCGAGAGCACGATTTCTACCATGGCGAAGTTGCACTGGGCAAGCGTGTTACTTCGCGGCGCGTGCTCCGCAGTGATGTCAAGTTCGAGCGGTCAGGTAATCGACGATACACAGACTTCCTTTGTGGATACTGGTTGAAATGATTCTAGATATAGGCTATCGCGTAGATAATCGGGGGGGGGGGCAGGCGGCCCGCAAACTCGCGCTTTTCTGCAGGCGGTCAGTACAATTTTGAAGCGTGGCCATTCCTTCAACGGGCGGCACTTCCTTTACGGTCGCATATTTCAGCGAGCGCTGGCCGAACATTCAGCAGGCGCTTGGACTCTTTTTACGCAGTTTCGGGCGTACGCCGAGAAAAGATGATACTCTCTATGTGGCAGAGGTGTCATCCATGGTTTAATTACTCAAGCTTGGGGTACCTCCTCCTAGCGCAAGGTACCCCGGGCAGTGCGGTCCTCCACAAAGGACCGTGCGGCCCCCAACAATTTTACGGAAAGTCCGCGAGAATGCGGCCACTGGACCGCAACTTATGCATAGAAAAAGCGCCATAGTTCTCCGAGCGTTCATCTGAAAATTGGCCAAAATTATCCCAATTTTCTGCAAGCGAACCGCAAAAAAATCAGCGAACGACTTTTCCGGTGCCCGCTTGCTCAAAATTCACATGGCCGCCTGCCCCCGGCGATTATTTGAGTGCATGACGAAGGCGCAATACCTTCTCAGATAATCGCCGGGGGCAGGCGGTCCGCAAACTCGCGCTTTTCTGCATGCGGTCAGCAGAATTTTGAGGCGTGGCCAAACCTTCAGCGGGCGGTAATTCCTTTACTGTCTAATATTCTGCCAGCGGGCAGCAACACAGAATTTTCTGCAGGCGCTCGTCAAATAACCTCTTTCAGCAAACGCTGACCGAACTTTCAGCAGGCGCTCGGACTCTTTTTACGCAGTTTCGGGCGTACGCCGAGAAAAGACGAGACTCTATATGGCAGAGGTGTCACCGTCGGTTTAATTACTCAAGTTTGAGGTACTTTCTCTCAGTGGAAAGTACCTGGGGGCTGCGCGGTCCTCCACAAAGACCGTGCGGTCCCCGAAAATTTTGCATATTCTCGCGGAAACTCCGCGAGAATGCGGCCACTGCGCCGCAGCTAATCTATAAGGAGACCGCGATTGTGTCCAAGCATTCGTCCAAAACCGCCAAAATTCTTCCAAATATCTGCAAGCGGACCGCAAGAAATCAGCGAACTATTTTTCCGGTGCCCGCCCGCGGGTGGGGGAACAAAAGCCGCCAGTTTGGGCCGCCTCCGCGGACTGCTGGTCCTGGAACGACATGCAACAACACTGCGAGAGGACCAGTTGGCCGCGAAAAGCGGCTCAAACTGGCGGCTTTCGTTCCCCTACCCCCCGCCCGCCCATAAATCGCATGGTCGCCTGCCTTCGGCGGACATTAGATTTTGGGCGAAAAAGCGGCTTTATTAGCCGCAGAGTGCATGAGGCACAGGGTTTACAACGGTGAAGAAACGCGCGCGCCGAGTTCGCGCCCGCTCAACTGATACTGCTTCTGCGTCTTCGTCCTGCAGTAGCTTTTTTGTCTTCGATGTGGCAGCAGCTCAATGCATTCTTGAATGAGAGCTTCAACTCGCAACGTGTCTCTTGAAAAGGGCTCGGTACAGGTAATTTGTGGAGAACGATATCGTGTTGGGGAAAAGTCGAGGAGACACTCGTTTTCACAGGAACAAATGCACAGCATGAATGTTCCTAATGATCAAAAATTACAGCAAAACCATGTTTTCATATGTGTGTAAAAAGTAATGGGCGTGGATTGACAGCTTCAAAAGTCACGCCCATTACATCACTCCTACTTTCTTTTCCCCCCCCCCCTTCTTTGTCGCCGTTGTCGCATAGCCAAACACCTATGAACTGCCCAACTTTACCCTCTCACAGTTATCTCTCACCAGAAAAAAATTGTTTACAACGAAGGGATATGGCATCAAATTTGGTGTGTTGAGCCTTGTAGGGAATCAGAACTGTATGAAATTATAAAAACTGGAGAGTAGTGCGTGGCAATGTTTTCGTGGAATTAAGTGGCCTGGAGCTAATTGCTTAGCCGCCTGAGGTAGTTCAGGAAAACAAACTTTAGATTTTGCCTTTCCTCACCTGAAAATTTTGATCTTGCATACACCTACATCCGCAGTTCTATTAACAAGAACACTCCCCCCTTCCATTCCCTATGCTACTCCAAGCGAACGCTGGTGCGCGCCCGAACACAGCTGCCGGTAGTAATCTACCCTACCTGGTGGCATCATAGATGCCGGCAAGTTGGCACTCGCAGGAAGTTGTCAACTCGGGCTGCAGCTAGCGGAATGGTCATAGGTTTTGATAGATTTATGTATCCTAGACCGCAGTCACTATCTACAAGAATTTTGACGACGCCGTCCTTCGCAAAACACTGACATCTCGCACGTCCAAACTTGAATGCGTTAACTTCGAGCGTGATCGCGCTGGCTAATGGACCACTCGGTCGGGTGGGGGAACGAAAGCCGCAAGTTGGGCCGCCTTCGCGGACGACTGGTCCTAAAACGACATGCAACAGCATTGCGAAAGGAACAGCTGCCCACTGAAGCGCCTTGAACTAGCGGCTTTCGTTCCCCTACCCACTCGGTCGCTTACTCCCGTTCGCAAAACAATAGCGGAAACGCACAAACAGTGGCACCTGTGAGAGAGTATGATCAATAGATTGCGTGATTTTGACCTGAAATGAACAGCTGATTAATATGCACACGATGAGATGGAATTGTTGCAAGATGATTATAAAGATGAAAAAAGGCGATCCTGCAATAGTTTTTTGATAATGCACTTTTTTTTATACATATCATCCATGCAATCAGAAAAACCTCAATTAATGACAAATATGATAATATTTTGATGAAAAGAGAGTTTTTGGATTCATCTGCTTGGCGCAATAAATTATGTGATATGAAGTATTACCCAAACTCGCAGACACCGCCAGCAAGGTACCAGCACCTTGACGTGCCCCTACCACGTCGAGATGCCGGCACCTTGCTCTCTCAAAAGTGCGCGCTATTTCCATTGTTTCTGACCTGCCGGCAGTTACCACCTCGCAGCCTTCGACGAGCTGCCGGTAGGTTGCTGGCAAGTGAGCTCGCGAGTTCCCACCAACATCTGCTGCGTTTCGAATATTTTTCTCTGAAGAGATTTCTGGGACTTCAATCTTCGATGGAGGTTTCTTCAAACTCGCAAAAGCACATTCATCCAGTAACTTTCTCAAAAAGGCTCGAGACGGCCTAGATTTGGGCTCTTAGCTTCAGGCAAGGTGCCGGCAACCTGTCGGCGAGACCTGCAGCCAGGTCGCAGGGATTACTACCGGTCAGCATGCCGCTAAAGTAAACCATAAAACACCACTGTTTTCATTTGATAATTTTCTTGCGTCTTTCAATGTTTTTTCCGCGTTTCTATTTGTTTTCTTGAAGCCCCGCAGTGTCTAGTGTTGCAAAGTCAGGAAGACTGCGTTCTTTGATACTCGTCCGACCATACCTGTTCCAGAGCATACCCGACGTTATGATCTGCTAGAGTGTACGGTAGTGATCGATTATTTAGCGTTGATTTTTCCTCCACGAATTAAGTCTCTTGCCGCTGGGGCAATGGCATAGTTGGGCCCCTGATCAGCTCGCACGAGGAAAACTCAAATACAGTCTCCATTAATCGGGATCAGGCCGAATCTTGCTGAATTTGCGAGCTAGCAGGGCTAGTAGTTTGAGCTGCATGCGCCCGTGGTCGCAGAGAGTGAAGAGATTGAGGAGAGAGCAGACTATCTAACCGTAGACGTGACGCAATACCCTCGCGACACGAATCCCGCCATGCCGATTTTGGCTTGCTTGGGATTGGGGCAGACTGTATCTAAATTAGCCTTGACAACGCCTTGATTGTGAAAATTGTTCAGTGGCTTATTGTTTACATACCTGACACTAGTGTGAAACCAAACAAGCGAACATAGTATAATTTCGCGCGTCGACTATATTTTATTGGAATGTGCCTGAGTTCATTCTCATCACGCGTTCTTCTCTCTTCCTGAGATTTATACTCTTATCGGATGGTAGCAAGGCAAAAAATACTACCTCTATTTCTTCCTCCGTTTTATCTTTCCTCTCAATCTGAACGTTATGATCAAAAAGAGCAAAAACAAACTCCAATGCTTACCAACATATCTCTTGATTGCTCCCTCTTTCGCACCGTGATGATGAAATGCTCCTACAAAGCGCGCTGATCTATTCAGTATCTGTTTTTTGTAATTACACTATACCGCTGCGAATGACTTTGCTTCAGCTCTCACTGCCTGTCGTACTAGAAAGTCGCCTACTTTGATGACTAGGTCGATAGTCTAAATTACTGAATTAGTTCTAGATTTTGCGTTGAACATTGAATTTTATGCGATAGCGCTTGTGAGATTTGAGCCCCGGCATAATATTTCAGGCCACTTCGGTCGCTATGCGAGTTGGCAAAGCTGTGCAGATGCTAATAATTCACCGTAATGCGCTTTGAAATTCAATGTTGTGCGTGTCCCGTATACAGACGCGTGGCTACCGGAATTGCGCAACGTATGCTCAAGGCTCCCAAACGAGACTGTGTGGTTACTAAATGTGCACTGGTATGTTTCTAAGCAGCAGAAATGCTCTCTCCAACAGACAGAGTCCTCTCCGAGCATTTCATGGCATTATCATCTAGATATAATGCTTATAGACTCCTTTGTTTGTGAACCGATGAGGCTGAAACTCGCTCCCCTTTAAATGAGGCACGGCGCAGGAGATAGGCCATTTTTGCTACGATTCACTGGGTCCTTCCATCGATTTATTGATTTGTCTACTTACATGTAAGAAAATGAAAGGTTTTTGTATTTTGACCATTGAAGCATTTTTCGTAGAAACGTAAACGAGGGCGGTGAGTTTCATTTAATCTTCTTAGCTAGGAGGATGCGGTGTTCCGCGGCGGGAGAACAAGAAAGGACAAAATCCTCCACGGAAACGGCTGCGCGATTCGGAGCAAGAACATGGAAAAGGAAGGGACAGTGAAGATGAAGTAACAGCCAAGAAGAGAGGGTAGGTTATTAACAAGCGAGAACAAACTTTTGTGCTTTGCGAACCAGCTAGTCGAAAAAAGTTTCAAATGATGTTCTCATATAGGCACACAGTATTTTGACTTATTTTCGCAGCTTGAACCTCAGCCGAGACAAGAAACTAGAATTAGCAACCGAACACAGGCTTGACCATGCGGTAACTAAATCTCAACGATCTCGATCTAATGGAGTGTTCGTGATTAAGGTCAACATCCACTCAAAACTTCGATGGATTCTCTCCACTGTCAGTTAGTAAGTCAGTGCAAACTCGTCAATGATGGGAGGTTTGTGAATATTTTTCGGATCTCGGTTAATCTCTATCCTGTACACTAAGATTCAAGTAGACAAACCAAATCTGCATGAGAAGAAAAGCGCTATACTTTGCGCACCTCGTGCTCTGCAAACGATTAAGGCAGGCACCGTAACATGCACCAAAACAGAAATCGAGGAAGTGCACATTGAACAACAGGATGACAACAAAATTAGCGCATACCCACGATTTATAGCCTTTGAAGTAAATGAGGGCTGCATGAAGTCGACTCTAATCTTTGGGAGAAATACCTGTTCTTTGGGCATGAATCCATGGAAGTAGTCTTCGTGTTTTACGCTGTGCAATCCACCGGCTTCTGAGTCGCGAATTTTCGTTATATATATACGCCCGCGTTCATCATAACCTTTCTCAAGCGCCTGTAACCAATCGATTGCAGCTTATATGAGGATTCTGGCGTCGCCAAGGCCCACTTGACGGTCTTCCTCTCTGAGATTGGCAATGTCCACGCGATGATCTATAGAGTCTACCATAACCGGTTGAAGATAACGTGTTGAAATAAGTGAGTCATAGTGCAGGACAGCACTATCAGAGCGTTGCTGGTTTATTATAACGGCGAAAACGACATCAAAGCATTTTGAAGAGACTCGACAGGCAACTCGGTTGAGATGTGAAATGCTTGAAAGGTGGAATATAGTGTGGTTAAAAATAGTGCAAATAAATCCTGCAGAGAAGCTGTAAGCCTTTCAAAACTGCGCAAAGCGGATTCACGCAGACACCTCGTCGTCTTCGATAGCCTCTGGTGGTATGACCAATTCTACCTCATATTCGGGAGGGTAATGAAGCGCGCAGGCATTTCGCAGGCGGTGCCAGCCGATTACCAAACCAGTGCTTTCATCCTCCCACATTACTCTGATGCAATCTACCAACGGAGGTTAGAGGGCTTGGTTGGCCTAGGGAAGGAATCGAACCCTTGTCCGAACTGGTCATAACGGCTCATATCTAGTTACGCCATTCGTCCCCGGAGAAGTCCTAAGAGGCAAAAATCTAACATTTTCAAAGCTTTTGGAGTCCAGTATATTGTTTCTTCAGGTTTTAAAAATTAGAAAGGATTAAATTCGGAATTTCTCGGAACCGGAATTCCAAATTGAGAACGACTTCGACCAAAAGTATTAGGTTGGTGCAAAAGTTCTGTCGTTTCATTTTCAAAAATTTGTAACTTCTCGAGGTTTCAACGGATTTGCTTTCTTGTAATTTTATTAGAAAGATTAAGTCTTCCGCTTTCAATTATTGTTTTGTGGAGCTTCTGTTTCACACTGAGTGCAGAGACAAAAATGAGAAACTAAGACCATGCAAAATTTGACCAATTTAAGTTAGGTCACCAAAAACCTGGAAAGTTGCAAAAAAATCTGAAATCATCAGTACATATGTTTTTTGACCTATCCTTTGCATCTGCGAAAAAATTGTGCTGTTTGGACGTCTCTGTGAGATGTTATGAATATCGAGTTTACTATGGAAAACGCCAAAATTAATTAATTTGTCAATTCGCGAAAATCATAACTTCTCACAGAGACGTCCAAACAGCACAAACTTTTCACAGGTTTGAAGTGTAGGTTAAAAAAAACATATGTACGGACGATTTCTGATTTTTCTGCATCATTTCAGATTTTTGGTGACCTAACTTAAAATGATCAAAGTTTACATGGCCTTAGTTTTCCATTTTTATCTCTGCACTCAGTGTGAAACAGAAGCTCCACAAAACAATAATTGAAAGCGGAAGACCTAATCTTTCTAATAAAAAAGCAAGCAAATCGCTGAAATCTCGCGAAGCTACAAATTTTTGAAAATGAAACGACAGAACTTTTGCACCAACCTAATATATTTCTAGTTTTGGTAAGAGTGCAGTTTCAAGTACGTGATATCAGGCAAATAGCTGTTGGAGACAAAGAAATCCCATAGAAAATCTTGCGGAAGTTAGTGTGCTTTTTCATTCCAGTTGTAGACCAGGGGCGATATGCACCAATCGCCCGTCCGGGTAAGGGTTCCAGTTGAGATAGTATATGCTCCTTAGCTCGGTGCTTTGAATATGTGTGTTCTTCCTTGTTGGTCCATTTTTTGGAGGCCCTACTGCCCTAATATTGTAGCTTGATGAATAGCAACAGTTTGCTGTATAAGCTGAGATTTCGGTATTTTATATGATCCTGTGCGAGATCCTGAACAAAACACGGCTGATTTTTAAAGTCATTTATCTTTGCAAAAACTCAATGAAAACGTCGTAAAATTATGTTGTTGATCCGTTATGATAGTGCTGAGCATTTTAGTGGAATTGATAAGTGAAAACTCAAGTTGACGAAAACTTCGATGAACCTCTGCTCGCGAGCTGGGATTTATCGGAAAACTAAAAAATTCCACTTTTTCTCTGCGCTACTGGAAACATACTCGGCACTGTCATTTTCTTCAGCACAACTTTACGACATTTTCATTGAGTTTTTGCAAAGATAAATGACCTTGAAAATGAGCTGTTTCCTTGAGGATCCCGTTCGGGATCTTACAAAATGCTGAAAATCTCGGCTCATACAACAGAGTGCTGCTATTCATCATGCTACAATATTAGGGGTTAGGCCTTCAAAAGATGAACAGATAAGGAAGAACACAAATCCCCACAGCACCGGCTATGGAGCGGAAAATGTCTGAACGGGGACCCTTACCCGGGCGGGCGATTGGTGCATACCGCCCCAGGTTCCACACGCTTACTCACTTCCTTTGCTTTGTAGTCCTCATCCATGTGGAATGCATCAGGCTTCTTTTGCGCTGCACAATCTCGACTGTCATCTGATCTCGGCGCTTGGAATCATTGTTGTGATTTGTTGAGTTGTACATCGGAAATTAATAGACCTTTTTTCGATTAATGTTTCGACTATATCGTTTGCTTTGAATCTGAGATTGTCAAATGCATAAAAGACTGTTCTCTCAAAAACCACCTCAAGACTCAGCAAAACGCCCTATGCGTCAGCGAACCAAGAACTTGAAAGTGTATGCAGAATCAAACTAACAGCTAAGTTAACATAAACTGAATCTTACACTTATCGACAAGGGAATAGTCAGAAGTCGAAGCGGCCAATTCAACAAGCTGCTTACCACTAGACGCAGCACAGAACGTTGACTTCGAATCTGTACTTGTATTTGCTGAACACTTTTGTAGACGAAGTTATGGGTAATTCTTTTTTTTATCCTCGCATGTGTCCCGCTTACGCAGGGTCTGCTTTTCTTGTGAGATGTCTCCATGTCGTCCTATCTGAGGCAAGGACTTCATCTATACCAAGTTCTCGCAGGTCAGCCTTGATTCTGTCCATCCACCTCATCTTGGGTCTACCTCTGGGCCTTTTGCCTGGTGCCTCCACAGCCAGGGCCAATTCGGTGATGTGACTTTCATCCCTTCTGCTCACATGCCCATACCATCGTAACCTCTTTTCCTGCATTTTCTGGGCAATTGGAGCTACTTTCATTCGCGCTCGTATAGTGGCATTGCAGATGTGATCCTTCAGTGTGACTCCTAAGGTCCATCGTAGCATCCTTGTTTCCATGACACTGAGCTTACGCTCCTCTTCCGCGTACACGGCCAGCACTCACTGCCATACAGTGCTGCTGGGCGGATGACGGTCCGGTACAGTTGGGACTTAAGTTGCACTGGCATTCGTCTGTCGCACAGAACTCCTGTTAAGGCTCTCCACTTCATCCATGCTGTGTTCATCCTGCCTGCGACCTCCTCTTGTAAGCCTCCCCCCGCTAAGATGCGACTGCCTAGGTACTTGTATGACGTTGTCTTCTTTAGCTCTTCACCATCGATGCTTATGGTACCCGGAGTTTGTTTCCCCACTTCCATATATTCTGTCTTCCTGGTGTTGAGCTTCAGGCCATATAACTCTATCCTATTTTTCCAGTTTTGCACCTCGTCTTGTAACTCCTTTCTGGTACTTGCTATCAAGACCACATCATCTGCGTAGAAAAGTTCCAAGGGGGTTCACGTCTGAGCGGTTCCATCATGGCGTTCATCACAGTGATGAAGAGCAAGGGAGAGAGGACTGAACCTTGGTGTACTCCAACCTTGATTTTGAAATCTTTCGATTGCCCTGCAGCTGTTTGCACGTGGCTTCACGCGTTCTGGTAGATAAACTTTATCCACTGAACGTACTCCTCTGGCACCCTGTGTTTCCGTAAGGCCCACCATATGACTTCATGGGGCACCTTATCGAAGGCTTTTTCCAGGTCCAGGAAGGCTGCATGCAATTCCTTCTGCTTCTTTCTGTATTTCTTCATCACTATCCGAGCGGAGTGGATTGCATCAGTTGTACCCACTCCTTTCATGAATCCGCACTGATTCGGTGACAACTTTATGATATCTCGAAGGCGTGTTTCGATTACTCGCTCGAAGATTTTTAGAGTGTGGCTCATCAGTCGGATTGGTCGGTAGGATGCGCAATCTGCTATGTCTCCTTTGTTCTTCCATATCGGGATGGTCGTGCTGGTTACCAGTCGCGAGGCATACTCTTGCTCCTTATGATTTGATTGAGGAGACTTATTAGCCATGTGGCTCCTGATTGTCCACATAATTTCCAGAACTCGCTTGGTATGTCGTCTGAACCAGTCGCTTTGCCATTCTTTGTTCTTTACTTCCTCTTCTGTGACCGCTGGTACTGGTCCCTCTATGGGGCTGGCTTCTGGGATGGAGTTGATGGTGCGGCCTGTGGTGGCCATCTCTTCGAAGTAGGTTCTCCATCTTTCGGTAATGTCCTCTGGTTTTCTTAGAGTCCTACCAAGTTTGTCTTTGATATGGAGGCAGTGCTCCATATCTTTCGTGGACTCCGCTCTTCTTCTCGCTATCCGGTATATTTCGCGTTCTCCCTCGCGGGACTCTAGTTGGTCGTAGAGCTCCTTTGAGTACACCTGTTTTGCCTTCTTTACGGAAGCCTTCGCAGCACGTTTAGGCTTGTTGGTATGTCTGGCGATCGTCCTCTGATCTTATGCCATCGCTTGTACGCATTCTTCTTCTCCTTTATGACTTTTTGCACTTCATCATTCCACCACCACGTTTCTCGATTGATCCTTCTTTTTCCTGGCTTTGTACTTCCCAGGATCATGCGTGCCACTTCGTGGACTCGATCTTTCAAACTTTCCCAGGATTGATCTGGGTTATCTTGCAAGCGTGGTAGAGTTGATAGCAATGCTTGTTTCGCCACGTTGTTACCTTTTAATCTCCACCATTTGATGCGTGTCCTAGTCTCTGTGGCTCTCCTGGTGTGTCTATCCATTGGGATTCTGATGTCGAGAAGCAGTGGTCTGTGTTGAGGTATGCAGCTCTCACCGGGAATGACTTTGCAGTCTTTTACGTTCTTGAAGTCACGTTGTCGGATAGCCCAGAAGTCTATCTGTGTTCGCCGATCGCCACTCGCATATGTTACGAGGTGATCATCCTTCTTGATGTACCCTACTTTCAGGTGTATAAGCCGCGGGGTGGTCCTAGGTTACATCTAGCTGCTCAGCCGCCTCACTGTGTCTCAAAAAGCGATCTTCATGACACGATTCTCTCAGACAATACGCAGCACATTATAGGGTCCTTTGGTTACGAAGTCCTAAGGCGTGTTCAGGCTGGTCGACGTAACCTAGGACCACCCGCGGCTTATATGCCTGAAAATAGGGTAGTATGTGTTCGCCAGGACCAGATCATGAGCTGAGGCGAATTCCAGAACGCGCTCACCTTCTTCGTTGCATGTTCCGTATCCGTGGCCTCCATGACATTTCCAGGCTTCTCCTCGCCTTTTTCCCACACGTCCGCTGAGGCCCGCTCCTAGCAGGAGTGTCTCATCCAGTGGAACTGAACTGATGTGGTCGTCCAACTCCTGCCAGAACGCGTCTTTTTCGTCATCCTTACATCCGACTTGTGGCGCATAGGCGGTAATTACTCGTAGGACTTGTTTCCCAGTATCTATCTTGATGCTCATCAGACGATCGCTTATGCGCTCAACGTCAAGTATATTGCTCCGTAGAGTCTCCGAAACAGTTATACCAACTCCATTTCTGGCGCAGGTGGCACCTTTGTACAGGAGCTTATATCCATCTCCGATGTCGCGTGACTTTGCCCCGCTCCACTTTGTTTCCTGTATGCATCTACATCGACTCGCCGTCTCTTCAGAAGATCTGCTAACTCACGAGAACGAGAGGTGAGTGTACCCATATTGATGGTAGCTAGACGGAGTGTCTGCGATGCCTTGGATCGTTGCCTCTGGTGAACTAGCCGCTTTAGCTGTCCCCGTTCACCTTGCTGAGACGGTAACCCTCGCCCACCATTCGCATTCGTCGGGCTCGAATGCGCGTCGCTTCCGGGGACGCCCTAGCCTTTACTCGAGATTCTATATGAGACATGTCTGCTATGGTGATGCGACGGGGTGTTTCTCAACCGGCTTGTCGCATGCCCTTCTTTGGAAGGGCAGCCTGACGCTGGAATTATGAGCAGAATTTTTGCCACAGAAATTAGGCTCAGTGTGGAATCGAACCCGTGACCTTCATCACGTAATGTTACGTAGAGCACTAACCACTAGACTAACTCTGCTCTGAAGTTATGGGTAATTCTGATGCAAGAAATTGCGCATATAAACAAGAAAATTAGTTACAATATTACCATTTTAGCTCACTTCTAGATAGCTGCATAGATTGATTTAGCTGCTGTTTTGACCCAACACTAAGCCAAACATGGCTCTTTATGGACAAATTTGCACTTTGCATACATACCCTTGCAATATTCACCTGTAACTTCATCCACAAGCGTTCAGCAAATACGAAGATAAATTAAAGTCAGCTCTCTAGGCTGGCAATGATATGCAGCTCGTTTGGACTGGCTCTCTCCTTCTACCGTTGTCTTGTGAGCCCCAAGTTCTTTATATAGGGTGTCCAAAAATGCGCACACTGTTGATTCTTGAGCCATTAAAAGTCACGTCTTTTTCTGAAAGAAGAAAAAAGCGCAATTTTTAAAGTTTGATTTTCAATTAAACGGCTTTTCGCAATGGCTGTCCATGCTGGAAGTCCTACCGTCACCTTACAGTAACAAAGAACGATAGGGTGATTTGCTTCATACAGTGAATCTGGGGGTGTCTCAAAAGATATGAAAGTCTAACACTAAGAAAAGTATTAAGATTAAGCAGCCTGGCATTCTTCTGAACACTCACCTGATGGCCTAACCTCAACTTGACCTCGGCACAGCAAAGGTCTACGCCAACTCGATAGTAAAATCAATGCACTTATCCTCTCAATCGCATTTGAATTTTATTCGCCTATTCAAAATTCTTTATAGTTTTTTTTCGAAAAGATTTCAGGTCCGTACGCTAAGATTCGACCTCCACGCGTATGTCCGTTATTATGGGGCTACCTGCGATCTGATCTAAGGCAGTTGTAGGCTTTGGTTTTCTGAGCCCGTCAAGTGTTCTTTGACGCGGATGCATAGTGGATGCCGTTTCACGGTATAAGTACCTCCACTCAACTGGCTTGTCTTCGAGAAGGCGGGGCTTTGTGACCTAGTTAGGCTGGCTTCATACTAATTCCCATGTTCCGGGACTGTTCACGCACAGTTCCCGCACAGTTCTCGCACTACGCTGGAATTCTTCCGAAACTGTGCTGCATGCGCTGCGGCCCCCCGCACCGTTTTCAACGGCGGTAGTAGGAGAATTTCAACCGTTTTAACGGTTTTTCTTCCAGATTTCTCTCATTTTTGCCTTATTCCTCTACCTCGCTTTTTATTTTGCAGCAAAACTTCAAACTCGAAGCGAGGTAAATGAGCGCTTCTCTGCTTTGCGTATGCGACAAAACGTGTGTTCTTGTGCTCGTCCATTCTCTCTTCGCTATTTTTGTTCAGACCTACTTCATGTGTTTTTAGGAAGGCACTGCGTAGTCTCGCATCTCGCATCGTATTGAAATTGATATAGACAGGTCTCTAGAACACATGAAGTAGGCCTGAACAAAAATGGAGGAGAAGATGGACGAGCGCACGAAGACTTACTGATTTGTCCGCAGCTGCTATTGTTGTAAGAACAGTTCATAACGATAATAGGAAATCTAACGAGAAACAATTCTATGGCACGGCGTGTAAGCTAGAGCGGAAGACCCAGTTCTAAAAACCTCATCGTAATCTTAGATCCCATGCTCAAACTATATCACTTCTGCCTTTCTTAAAGTTCTCATTCAGAGGTTACAAGCCAATCTTCCCATGGTTGCAAATCCTTGTAAGTTCCCATTGCAAAATTCATGAGGCAGTAATGGAGATTTTCCACTACTGCCTCATGAGTTGCCTTTCGTTCGCAGAGTATTAGCACAGTGGGTTCGTGCTATCGCCAGTAGCACTTCCGAAAACGCTGTTCTGTTAAGCTCAATGATCTAGATGACTTGCGAAATGGTGTACTAGCTCACTGCACACTGCAGTTACTTACTATCATATCCAACAATTCTTTTGTTGTTGCTGTGGTAAGACCAACTATTGACTATGACTTTCATGAGATGATAGCACAAAAATTTCTAAACTTTATTGGGAAATAAAGGAAATAAATCTGAATTGATTACGAAGAAAGATGGGTAATGAATAAAGTTTTGGTGTATAGAATATCGCTATCTCTTTTATCGTTAATTTTCCGAAGATACTGTTCAGGTGATCAATTATCATTTCACTTAATGCGGATGTTTCCGGATTCTTTGCAATGTTTGTTCTACAAATGAGCAGCGGACGTCGCACATTAGCTCAAATCGTTCACACCATGTTCGAGCAAAATCACAGTAGAATGCCTGAATGCAGCTATGTTTCGATAAGCTACTTTAGCGGCTCCGACGTTACACAAAAGGCTTGTCTTCAAACTTTTGCTCACCTCCATGACCTCGTCACTTCTTGTGGCCATCCTGGCTAATCTAGCAAAAAACTGCTCATTTGTTACTGCTATGTAGTGACTCGCAGGGTAGGCAAATCTTATAAAACTTTCAAATATATGTGCTATAGTAAGATCTACTTGGTTCATGAAGAAGTACGCAAATATTAGGATAGCAAGAAAAAGCGCGAAACGCTGCAATTGAGCTCATTAAGGAAAGCAACTAAATAGTAGTGAAACGTACTGGGTACTTGTCGGCAAAGTTTTTCAGTATATTAAACAATGACGTTGCCCTGCTGTTATAATCGTAACCTTCCGAAGCAGTGGTGGTCAAACTGAAAGTAGTAACTAACAAGAGAAGGATCCCAAATTGCAGTAGCGAACTGAAATGAAACGCCTATCGTTAGATGCTTAACGATCTGATTTCAATTCTGCCTTCCTTATCTGCCGCGGCATTCTCTGGAAGAAGTTATGAGCGGTAAAGGTGTGGAGTCATTAGGTTTCTAATGCATAACGTGCCCTGAAGTCCAGCTTGCGACTGCATAATTGGTAAGGTGTCGAGTGTGCTGACTACAAGGAATGCGCACATCACTATGTGAATAGGTGCTTTTGAACAACCAGTTCCTGGAAGGGTGCCGCTGAACGTTTGCCATATTTGAACTTCTAAACGCTTCTAACTTCTTCCAGAAAATCCCGCAGCAGATTTGGAAGTTAGATTTGGATTCTGTTCAACAAAACGCATCTGATGATATGCAATTTGTTCCAAATCGCCACCGCGAATTGGGATCCTTTTCTAGTGAGATTTATTTATTAAACCAATCTTTTGTTAATCATTGTTGATTAGTCTAACTGCTGCAAGTACAAGTGAATCCAATATGAATTGGGGAGCGGTCCGAAATGACTATGTGGCATGTCAATTTGCATCTTTAATGTTTCTCTTCAATACTCGCCACTTCAAGTAGTCGATAGGAGCATTTGAAATCTATAAGGCCCGCACTTGTATGAAGGTTCATGCCCTTTGCCTAACTTCGAAGAATATATATAGAAACCGCCAACTTCTTAGGCCTGTAGACTCGCAAATTAACGCGCTGGATATACCTTTACGTAACGCAGAATCTCTGTGGTAGCTGCGGAGTAATCTTACAAGAAAAGATGCGGATCTTTTTTTATGGTAACATACTATCGTGATGCATCTACTAACTTTTATATAGAAAAAAACCAGTGGCGTACCCAGGATTTCGGCTCGGGGGTGGGGGGGGGGGGGGCGACAAAAATTTTTTTTAATGAAGGTGCGTGGCGTCAACCACGCACTCCGAAAAATTTTTTGGGATGTTTCCCAGAATTTTTCCGGGCCCCTGACCCCAAAATAGAAAAAGGGGGCGTGGCGGCATCCACGCCCTCGAAAAAAAATTTTTTTATAAAGCTAATTTGAATTTTTAAAAATTTTTGAAAATTATTTTAATTATTTACAAGTAAAAACAAGTCCTCTCCACATTTTTATAATACATTTGAGTAATTTTCAAAAATTTCGCGACCCATTCTCGGGGGGGGGGGGGGGGCGCCCTCCCCACGCCCCCCCCCCTCGGTACGCCACTGAAAAAAACATATTTTGCACCAGCAGATATTGTGTAATAATCTTTCAGCATAGTTGCTTGAAGTCTAGCTGCTGCAGCGCAAGTAAAATCCATATCAGTTGGGAAGCAGCAAGAATGAGTACGACTCTTTGCATTTTTTACTGTACAGCTTCGTATCTTCACATTGCCCACTAAGAACTGATTTTCCTTAGGCCTAAACACTTCATACGATTTCGGTCGCGCATTTCCATACCCTTACATTTCGTAAGCGCACTCTGAATGTTGAAACGATAGACAGGTTATCAGTTTAATTCATACACACTTGTTTAAGCATTTCTAGTTTGTAAGTATTGGACTTGAAGACTGGCATATTATTGAACATGTGAAGCCTGTAGAAAAAAACCTGCAAGAAAAAGGTGGTGAGATATTGAATTAAGCGAATCAAATTTTTTCTCGCTAAAAAGGAGCTTAGCGCAAGTGTATTAGCACTTACAATTAGATGATGATGCTGTGATGATATTAAATAAGCAATGAGTAGCCAATTTTAGAAGCCCACAACTCGTTTCGAAATGGTGCGCGGCAGCTAGGATAGCATATTTGGAATCACCGTTTGAAACTGATTTGGAATATATGTTCCTTGCCAAAAGACCGAGCTAATTTAAATAGCTTCCCTTGTTAACTGAGATTTTGACTTACCTTATTCCTGTCGAATATGACCGTGTCGAAAGGTTGTCATCAGAGGGTAATGAGTATCTTGAACCGCTTTGGGATGGATGCTCTGACTTTTGCAAATTTTCCTCCTCATTGAGTGATTTTTGGCTGAAGGTGTGCCGACTTCTTGATTTTGAGCGTTTGGAGTGTTTGGAGCGCTTGGAACGTTTTGAATGTTTTGAATGCCTGTAAGAGCAATTATTAAAAAAAGAGATCTTGTATCATATGCATAGTACTTTGATGTCGAGGCGCGAATAGGTTCGCGCTGCTCTTGTTTAGGCTCCGCGTCTATGGTAACGATTTCGTCATCGTAAAGTGCAGTATGCATGCTTTCGCTGCTGACTATACTAGCAGGACGTTTGTGAACCTGAAGAAAAGAGTACGGTCAAGATGTTTCAAGCTTTTAAGTGCTGAAGCTTACGGGGCACAGTGGTCTAGTTTCATTTTCAAAAATTTGCCGACTTTCTCGAGAATCTTGTTGTACTGGACGCCAAACGGAATGTGTCGAGTAAGCGGAACCATGTACAGGACACCTTAGTGGATTTGTCATTTACAGAACTTTGGCTTCACAAAGATACCCTAGTCCATCATAATCTCTTTCACTAGCCGCCTCTTCCACCCATAGATGTCCTCTCGGAATGTCGTAACTTGGCAAACGACCAAAACTCTCGAGATGCTCGTGGCTGTAGTGGGACTCCCTCAAAACAAAAAATGTGTACCGATAGTTGTCGAGGCTAAAGCACATGCCAAAGAACAACAATATAAACGAGAAGAGCGTTTTCTATGAGCTACCAGGATACACAAACCTTCTTGTATATCCTTCCGCTCTCCTGGGACGATGAGTGTGCGACATGTAATCCTACCTTTTTTGTATGAGACCTGTAAACTCTGTTACCAGATGCTCGACAGAAACTTCTGATTTACTTTGAATTGATCCACCTGCAAGCAACAGCGCCAATAGCAAAATCACGTCCACCACTCGACAGCAGAAATCGAGAAAGTGAACCGAGATCGGCAGTACTGTTTGCGTTTCATTCTTGATAATCTTATGATAGGTGTAGTACATAAATAAGCAGTGATTCTTCGTTGCGATGATCTAAGTCCGATACCCGGCAGGTACCAGGCGAATAATGGGCGCAGTTCTCAGCCGTTTATGTAAGACTTTCGAATTTGCTACATCACACATACGAAAGCTTAGCTCACATATCAGACGCGTTCTTGCCATGTCTATTTCATGGGCAAGCTTTTACAATAGTGGTATGGTTGATACAATCAATGTTCAAGTCTGTTAACCCTACCCTAATGCCTGCGCTTGTAATGTCTTATTCTTCAGAGTTGGGAGAGTCATACACAGTGCTGGCCATAGCTATAAAGCCCACCCCAAATAATGAGGGTAATTTGCCCTATCTTGCATGAAATCGTTTGAAAAACCACTATTCTGTGTGTAAATTAACGCTATATCATAATCCTAAACGGCTTCCAATTTCAATGATTTTTCCGGAAAAAAATTTAAAATTTGAAAAATGAGTTCCAGAGGCTGGTCACAGCTATAAAGTCACCCCCTATTTTTGAGCAGTACTACATTCTTTGACCCTAAAATTTTTTGCACAGTTACAGCATCAAAACGTAAAACATTTGTTACATCTGGGAGTTATCGCCTTTTGAGAAGAAGACTTATACTGTATTTTTTGCCTCAAAATGCATAAAAATTCCCATTATTTTGAAAAGCTGCTGGTTTACTGCATTTTCAGTACTTAAATGACTTGGATAAAGATCCTAGGATTCGCTGAGCCTTTGCAATGAATGCGGTGAAGTGCGCTCGAGTCAACTTTGCGTAGTCGCTGATATCGATAGCGAACCTCGATCTCATCTCCAGGTAGAAAAGCTTTCGAAAGCAGAATTCAATTTCTAATGCCCGACAAGCTCTGCCATTTGCTCAGTACATCGTCTGTGCAACGACAAGCTGGTGCGCATTGCTTGAAGATCATTGCAACTTTTAAAATTCCCGTTTCGCCTTAAGCGCTATTCTTTTTGAAAAATGGAAAACGCACCCTGCGTAAGCATAACTCACTCTGAGCACTCGATCGGACGGAAAGCTGCTCAAAACTTTGAAATTCTAGTATTCCTAACCGTTCCGTAAGACTTGACCTGAATAGAAATAAAGAGGAGCAAAACTCGGAGTCATGTTGAATCCAATGCGCACAGCTGAACTAAAATAAAGCCTTCTAACTCCAATATTGCAGTTGCACTTTTGCGAGGATTTTGACAATTTTCACTTGGATACGTCGTCATACAAACAAAGTTTCAATGTCCGGCCGGCAAGTCGAGTAAGTGTTTGAAAATTTAGTGAACCAGCAATCTTTGTGAAATAATGTGACCGTTTATGCATTTTGAAGCAAAAAAAAATACAATGTAAGTCTTCTTCTCAAAAGGCGATAACTCGCAGACGTAACAAATGTTTCATGTTTTGATGCTGTAACTCTGCAAAAAAATTTCAGAGTCAAAGATTATAGTATTACTTATAAATAGGGGGTGACTTTATAGTTGTGATCTCTGGAACTCGTTTTTCAAATTTTCAAAATTGGAAGCCGTTCTGGTTAATGATAATAATGGTAATTTACACGCAGAATAGTGGTTTTTCGAACGATTTCATGCAAGACAGGGCAAATTACACTGATTATTTGGGGTGGCTTTATAGCTATGGCCAGCACTGTGTCAAATCTGGTGAAAGACATTGGAAGAGCGTTGACGCCACAAGAGTTCAGTAGATGAGATGACGACATATGCTGTAACCACTATGCTTGCTATTCATATGTAACGTAGTTCCCAGTTGTTGACCAAAGTGCAATTAGCAACTCGTGTTAGTTTCTGGTGCTGCATTAATTCAGATAAAATTCCTCTTACAAGCGCCAATGCAAATAGTCACATTTCATTTGCTTTTGATTCTTTCTCATCCTAAACGCATCACGCCCTTAGCGTCATAACGTTTTATCAATATCTTTTGTAGGTGACAAGTGTTGTGTGCCGTGCCGATACAAAACTTGCAGCAGGCTACAAAACATGCCAGTGTTTTCAGAGATTTCGCAGCGAAGCCACCTCTCTCTCTTTTTTGACTTGTATCAGAGGAATTTTAGTTGCGGCTTTTTTGTCTTTACACTCAAAATACGAGCATCCATGGAGTCTCAGATTGCAACATTTTAAGAAATGCAAAAACTTATGCCTGAGAAATTCATGAAACGCCAAAGACAAACTTGTAAGAGACGATTTTCTTGTGACTTTGCTTACTAGCTTTCTGCTTTTAATTCGACTGAAATTTTCAATAAACTACTGGAAGTTTTGCAGATTTGCTCTCATCAAAGGAATGACGAGTCACAATTCTGGCACGGTCACAGGTAGCCGACTTAAGCGATTTTTTGCATAAGCGGCTGCGTCTTCATTCTACTCAACCCGACAATTATGGCAAATAGATTGATTTCGTTGGCTGTTTCCTCCAAAATCCACTTGTTAAAAAAACAAGCTTAAATCTTGCATAAAATGCTGTTTGTTTCCAAGTGTGGAAGAAATAATCCTTAACGAATTTTTTCCCTCTCAGTATCAAAATTGTTGATTTGAATTATCAGATGAGTCAAACTGATCAAAACATTTTAATAGTATAACCACCCATGAATTTACTGTGGATTGTGTCTAGACAGATTACACTAAAAATGTTTGCACGTGATTTCAAGCTCTCTTTTTTCAATTAACAAGAAGCTACTTAACTTAACTCGGCCTTTCGACAAGTGACATATATATTAGGTTGGAAACTAAGTTTTGCAACTGGTCTCATAACTTCCCTCTCACTCAACATGGCGCACTCAAATTTTGCCACTGCGTTGGTTATTACGTGAGCTACAAGCGCAGCTGCTGTCCTACCAAATTCTGACGTCGCAGTGAGGGTTACGGTAGGTGCATGGTATGAAGGGGAAAAATTCAAAATTTGACGGACTTAGCTGAAACTTGGCATAGGGGTGTTATCCGACATGCTGATCACGAAAACGATAGTGAAATTGCGTGATAAGGGCTTTTTTGTAGGATTACTGTAGGTGTACAATATGGGGTCTCACCCTAAACAAGGAAAAAGGCGTTAATTTAACAAATGAATGTGATATTCGCGTTTGGCAGGTCAAATAATTTTACTATGTAAAGTCTGGGCGGAATTTGAGCTTCAGACTCTTTAGTTATTGACGGTCGTCCCCAGCAGCTCTTGCGTACATCGACTCGTTCGAATTTATGACGACGCCAAATCTCAACAAGCCTCTAAATTTTGTTTCTTTCTAGCTAGACCAAAGGAGCCAACCTCCAGCAATGATTTGTAGACGAATCCGGATTACTGCGCATGGTCTAGGCTGCTAAAGGCTTCATTTTAGCTTGAAACCCCAAAAATTCTCAAATTTCACTAGTTTTCGAAAAACGCCTGAAACTTTTCTATTTCGTGTTCAAAATTTAGACAGCTTGTGCTCGCTTGTAGTTCACATGGCCTTCTATATAATGCCAAAGTTTGAGTGCGCCATATCCAAAGAGAGTGAAGTTATGAAGCCAGTTGCAAAACTTAGTTTCCAGCCTAATACATTCTGAATCAGCTTCAAACGCTGATTCCGAATATGCGATTCCTAGCCGCCGAGCACTAGCCGGAGCGAGTTATGGACTTTTCTTGCGCGAAATTGGCATACTATCGACTCACTGGTATCATGGCATCATCACCTAAGTGCTAATACACTTGCATTTAGTTTCTTTCTAGTGAGAAAAGGTTGGATTTGTGTTAATTTCTGAGCTTTTTCTTGCAGATTTTTATCTATAAAGAGTCTTGCTGGGTTCAGTAGTATGCTGATTTTGCGCAGGAAAAAGGCTATCACTGATTAGAGCTGATTCAGAACATATATGTCCCTTGCCAAAAGGCCGAGCTAAGTTAGGTAGCATTTCTTATAAGTTTGCCAGCCCTATTCTGATCCAAAAATTTTCACGTAAAGAGTACGAAACCGAACTAAGTCCATTTTTGAAACCAAACATAGTGAGCATAGACAACGCGTGGCCTGCCAAAAACTCTTCATATCTTATATATAAAGCTGAATGTCTGTTTGTCTGTATGTATGTATGTATGTATGTATGTATGTATGTATGTATGTACGTATGTTCCGAGTAGAAAATTCCATTTCTGAACCGATCCGGACCAAACTTGGCACACATACGCTACGGGCCCCGGCGGGTGTCATAGGCTACTTTTCGTCATCGATCGATATCGATTTTATCGATTTTTATCGATTTTTTGCTGAGTTCACCTACGGGGCTGAGAGTTGGCACAGGGGGGTAATCGAGCATGGGGATTCCGAATACAATATTGGTTTTCAGGATTATCGATTACTTTTATCGATTTTATCGATTTTTTTGCAAAGTTTGAGCTACGGGGCTGGGAGTTGGCACAGGGGGGTAATCGAGCATGGGGATTCCGAATAGTAATGGACGATCCAGAAAACTAATATTGTGTTCGTAATCAACATGCTCGATTACCCCCCTGTGCAAAATCCCAGCCTCGCATGTCAAAATTTACAAAAAATCGATAAAATCAATAAAAGTAATCGATAATTCTGAAAACTAATATTGTATTCGGAATCCCCATGCTCACTTCCCCCCTGTGCCAACTCCTAGTCCTGTAGGTGAATTCTGCAAAAAAATCGATAAAAATCGGTAAAATCGACATCGATCGATAACGAAAAGTGGACTGTGACACCCGCCGGGGCCCGAAGTGTATGTGTGCCAAGTTTGGTCCGGATACGGCGGAGCCGGGTAAGCCAGCTAGTTACTTTATGATCTAAACATTGCAGGTAACATCAAAGATTATCGTAGAGCACGTGCACATTCCGCTATGCGTAAGTACAGGGTACGGCACAATCGTCTGTTGTCTAAAAGTCGGAGCATTTTTATGAGAATAAACGTGGGTGCTAGGACTT